CTACTGCTTTTATGCTCCATTTTTATCCTCATCCCTGAAGTTATCTGACCTGTGAGAACTGCTCAAAAACTGCTGTATTTCTTAATGCAAGGTAAACTAGAAACCTTGATCATTTCAGAAGATGAAACTAAGCAGCAACCTATCTATACAGTTTAAACTGCATCCACCAAAGTTTCAATGATAAAATTTTGTGCAACATTAAACGTGCAGTGCCACAGCTTCTCAAATCTGTGATTTCTGCCTAGCTCAAAATGAAGGCATACACTCCTTCAGCAGGTGGTTTCAAGCATTTCCAGTAAATAGAGGCAATTTTGTGCTGCTAATCCGTATCATCAGCAAGTTTCATAACACCTTCGTCCTGAAACTGGGGTAAAAGGCAACAGCACCAGGTTCTGTGCTGAAGGCAGTTTGGACTGTGGGCCCAGATGGGCTATTTATTGTGCCCACACATGGATACAGCAAATGGATTAGAAAGACTAATAAAACATGAGTAGTGAGACTTAATGTCCTTGACCACAAATGAACTGGGATTTCACCTGCTGGGACTTAAGTAAAACAACTGTATTTCAAAACTTTTCTGAAACTTACCATAGTTTGGCTTTATGATCGTTATAGAAAACAACTCACTCTGGTTACCCCAAGAGAGAGGTATGTCTCTAAAGACACTATAACCTCTGGTTTCATGTTTGCTATTGGAGTGCAAAGAGACAGTAACTGTCTTAAAAATTTCAGAACTCTGCAAAATACTGTGTCTATTGGAGTGCAAAGAGACAGTAACTGTCTTATCAGAACTCTGCAAAATACTGTGTTGTTTCAGTTACTATTCTACAAAAGATTAGATACACAAAAGAAAAACAAAAGTTTTCCACCATGAAATGGAAAGGGTTCACAGTGGTTTGCACCTGGCAGGAAAATACACACAAATTATCACAACCTGGAGGTACTGCCAGATGCCATTCTTGTGCTTATTACCAACAAGCCCTGAGGTATTCCAAAGCTTGCAGAAAGATCATGTTTTGGTTCCATGTCCAGTAGAGAGAGTTTGTTGCTGGTTTTTTTGTTTTTTGTTTTTTGGTTTTTTTTTACCACAGACTTCATTTTTTCTGCTTACTTACTGGAGATCTGAAAAATCTTTGAGCATATGGGGATTTCAGATTTATCTTGATGTAATCTGTGAAAAAGTCAGGACTATTTTCTGATCCAGATGGAAGCTAGAAGGGGTAACAAAAGACTACTAAAATCAAGCTTTTGTATCTCAATAAGGCACAAAAACATCTGTTCTTTGTTGGCCAAGACACAGTTAATAAACATTATTATTAGGTAAGGATCCTATTGTGCCTGTCATCATACATGTCAATCTCTGCATAAATTAGGACTCTAAACCCAACAGCAGGGAAATAATGAATTTCTGAGAAGCGTGGGTCAAAATAACGTTTATGCCTGTCAATCACCACCACAATCTCACATCATTCTTTTACTCAGGCTTAAAGAAAAAGTATCCAGCAAGCTTAAAATAATTTAGGAACACTTCTATATTGTCAGCATCTCAAATTTTGCTCAAACAGAGCCTCTAGTTAAAAAAAAAAAAAGAGACAAGGTTTTGCTGCATGAAGTTGAAGGGAAATTTATGGGATTAAACCTCTGCATACATAATCTGTTCCTAGCAGATTCTTCAACCTCAGAAGGTAAAGATGTAAGCGAATGTTCACAGATACCCTTGACTACCTTGGATCTGCAGAGGTTACAAGACCTTTGACTGTTTAACAAAGGAAGACCACTAGCAATAAACCACCACAAAGGTTCTTTTGTAAGATAAGGATCAGACCTCTATGTGACACAGGAAAGTACAGCAGAAAATGAGTTACTTTTCAGTACAGAGCAGGGCACTATAAAAACAGCTTTTACATCTATTTCAAGATCTCAGGGTTTCTTCTGACACAACAGCAGAATTAAGCTTAAAAGAGGCCCTTTATACAGTCATTTGTCAGTCCAGGTGGCCTGGCCACACCATGATTCTGCAACATTTTTTCTCAGGCTGCCCCTTCCTTGTCCTTTAACATTTCAATTCACAATAGAGGCTCAATGACACAGCACTTGCCTACCACGGCTTCCCCAGTTTGCTTTTTTAGACCTCTGATTTTGGAAATTGCTAAGCCATTTGAAAGAACACACTCCTGCAGTAGCTCTGGCTTTCATGTTTCTCTAACGAAGGATGTTTCTTAATGTATTACCTTGGACAAGGCAAGGTCATACCATAAGATATATATAATTTTATTATCTGAGTGACTTCCTGAATGACATAAATCCCCAAAACTGCTTGCATATACTGAGGATACTAAGCTTCAAGCTTCAAACTCATGCTTGTGACTGTTTTCCAGGAAGGCAAGGACTCTTTCAAAGCTGTTTTTTCCTGATGGCAGCATTTACCCAGGAAGCAAGAAATATAAATTCTACAATCTCATCGACCAGCTGGTGTCTCATCTCTCAGGACCTGGTTAAAAGTTCAAAAACTGTGTCTCTTCACACCTCCTTCTGTGATTCTGTGAACAGGAAAGGCAGCTTCAGGGGGCTAAAAAAAAAAAAAAAAAAAAAAAGAAAGCTGCTCTCCATAGAGAGTGTTGAGGTTCAGTAGCTCTTGCTTTAGCAAACTTCAGTCTCCATGACACTGCTTTAGACACGTCTAAGGATTTAAGATGTTCAAGGCCTGATATGGTCCTTCAGTGCTGGATCCTAAGATTTGGTTATTTAGAGAAAATTCAGATAGTTTGAATACATCCCTAAGTTACCTCTTTGGTTACTGTTCTACAGAAAATGAACCTAAGCCACCAAAGCAACACTTGGAATTCCTTCCACTAGCAACTAAAGAGACTAGGACACTGGAGTCATCACTTGTCAGTTTTAGAGCAAAGAATATCTTCTCGCACAGAGCAATCGTGTTTTTGGGAACTTGTACACTCCTGTGGTTCCTTTCATTATGTGACATTAGACCAGTTTCAACTTCATTCCTTTCAAATTTGAATCATCTCACACTCCTCCACAGATGAAGACTTTCATGCTGCTTCTTTGTATTCTGATTTGATGCTCATTTGCTCTCTCTGTATCTACAGCTTGTGTTGGTCCAGACTTCATTTTATGACGCTGAGGAAAGCAGAGCCCGTGTACCTTGCAGGCTGTGGTCACTTGACCAAGTTTGTGCTAGTATTTCAGCAAAGGCAGTAGCCAGCAGAAAGATTTTGATAAGCCCTGAAACCTATTGACTGCTCCAGGGCAGGAGCTGCAGACACACTGCAATACTGGTGCTGGTGGTTCTTCAGTGCCTCGGGGAGTAAAATATTACCCTCTTCAAGTTTCCAAGGTCAGGAATACTTACCTTCCTCCACTGCACACTCCCTTTATGAGAAATACCTGTTCTTCTGGGGCAGGACAGGTTTTCCTAGTCTCCCCATTTCTCTTTCTTCTGTCTTGCACAGGTATAAGAAAAGGATACAGGAGCAGCACCTATCCAGGGGAACAGAGCTTCCACAACAGAGCTTCCACAAAACAAACTGTCTCTTCCTGATTTTATACTAAAAAGCTGATTCTAATATTGCCTAAGAGACTCCCAAGATAGATCATAACTGGAGAATTATGTTTCTCATTTGCTTCTCACACATCCCATTCCCTTTGCACACTTTTCCCTGGCCTTGCAAGGAACTTTCTGCAAGTTTTTTTTTCAATCATGAGCTATTGCAAAAGCTCATTAGGTCACCAGAGTCAGCTATAGTTACCAAAACTACATGACTCTCAGAGTACTTGAACATCACAGGCAGAGTTCCCATTTGCAGAATAACAACTGGCAGCTATAATACCTTCTGGCAGAGGGGGATGCTCCCATGGAGGACTCCTGTGAAGGCACAGTGTGCTGCGATGCCAGGATTCATAGTGGCATTGGCACCAGTTGTGATTAATATACAGGGGAAACTGGACACAAAGATTTTACCAAGGATTACGAAGTACTGATGGGGATTGACCCTGCTGTCTCCAAAACATGAGCTCTCCCTGAAAACAACTGTTCGTTCAGCCTAATGGCTTTTCAGGAAAGAAAAAAAACCCAACAACCCAACAAATCAACAACAAAAAAACTAAACCCACAAAAAAACCAAACCCACAAAAAAACCAAATCCAAACACATAAAAATCACTCTGGTCAGTATGGAATGTGGCTTTTGCATTCCAAAACCCTAAGAGCTACTCACCTCATCTGTCAAGAAATTAATCTGGACTTCTAGACTAATCTTCTCAACACCCTTTACAGACAACAGAGGAAGGTTCTTCCACAGTCCAAATTACTTAGACCCAGATGCATGTCTAACAGGCAGGACACATCAGTCTGTGGAGATGACACATTGTTCCCACAAAATGCAGTGACCAGACAGTTAGCTTTAGATGATACAACCAGCATTTTGACTGCTCAAGTTAGCTGAATGCCATGGCCTCACAGAGAAAGCTGGGAATGCCATGATTCTGTGGCATGCAGCTTGTAATCCCCTTTCCAATGTGGCAAAAGAAAAAAAGAGCAATTTTGAGCATTAAGAACCCAGACCCAGTGAACATTTTCAAACCTGATTTGTTTACCTTGCTGTTCATAGGTAGGACCTAACAATGAGTGACAAAAGAAAAAAAGACTTTTTTTTAGATCTGGAGGAGGTGGGGCTGTATGCAACACAGATGGAGGAACTGAAAAAAAAATCTGAGAAGCAGAATTTCTCCAGACATTTCTCTGCTGTCTATAGTGCTGGATGGGTAACTCCATGTGTGTGAAGCGAAGGAAGAAACTCAGGGCATACAGATGACATGAAGTCTTCACAAATACTCCTTGAAACACTGAGGTGAAAAATAATATAATTTCCTTTTGGGATTTTCCTTATCCAAAGATATCGGCCTTTTGGACAAGAACGATTCCTTAACAAGGACAGTAAGTGAGAGGGTATCAAAACAGGGAAATAATATAAAATAATCTTTAAATAAAAGTTTAATTCACTCTTACTTTACAGAATATTTAAAAGCACCTTATCATTTTACTGTCAGTTCTAAAAAAGACCAACAAGAGAGTGGAATGATTTTAGCTGGTAAAATATAGGAAACCTTGTGAACAAATGGATACAAACTAAGCAAAAGGACAGTAATATTTTGTACACCACAACTGTAATCAGAATCTGGCATTGGTTTATTCAAATTTTGCTTTCTTGGAAGCAAAGCTTACATGTTCGTAAACATCAAAATAAACATTGCTTAATTTTACAATTTGCTAAACAAATACTTTTTTACCCTGAAGGGCATCGGCTGAACCATCTATTTGTCTGGCAGTTCTTCTGTTGACCTGTGCATCAATATTTTTTTAAACAATTGGTTCCCTTACAATTTTAATGGTGCTTAAAAATTTATTCCAATATTGTGCAACTCATAGGCAAGGCCATTTTGATGTGTGCCCTTCCTTACGTAGTTTTTTTTGATCAGTACTTAACTAATGCAACTGTGAAAAACTATACATTTTCAGGAAAATGTTTTGATTTTGGTCCTGTAGTTAAAGACCTTCTATAACTGCATTGTTTACATGGATTTGAATCACAAGCATGTACACAACAAAACCACTATACCAATGTTTCTTGGTCTATGCATAAAAAGTATGTCTTCTACTTACACTAAAACATACAAAAAATAAACTACAAAAATTGTTTACACTTGATTTCAGCAAAAAAAGCTTTCTTCAAGAAAAATGATTCTTCTTTTTTCAGCCATCAAAAAAGGAATGCAAGTAAACAATAAATACATGTGCTTTCTCCATATAGACATATTTACACTTGAGTCTTTGGCTTATGTTTAAGTTTCTTTATAAAGATCTTTATGTGATCCAGCCATCATTGCACATTAAAACAAAATAAGCCAGTTTTTTTTACCTATATATAATATATATATGCAACACTTGAAACGTATAAAGAATGAACCTTACTATCAATTTGCACTGTTATTGTACTTTAACAATGTATCAAAAGAAAAAAAAGAAAAATTAATACCATATAGGAAATATTGATACATGCAACAGATGGTCGCTCTACTGTGATTGAGAGACGGCTGCATATACAAACACTGAAAAGTCCTAATTTGCGCAAATCTCTTCTGACTCTGGTTTTCATTAAACAGTATTTATGTGGCACTAAATGTTGATACTGTATACAAGCATAGAAACAGATTGAATTCTTTTATTAAGATACACAACTTCATAAGAAAAATACTTTGCATTTAAAATTTAAAATCCCTCCCACCCCCCTCTTCCCCTAAAATCTTTCTTCACAGGATCAAAGCTGTTGTCAAAACAGCTTATTGAGATTCATGTATTTGGTGAACTTTGTCACATCCATTCCGACTAAGAGGATTCCAAGTACTCCAGTGCAACATCATAGCAGAAGCGATATTGCTCCTTTAAGGGGAAAGAGGAAAAAAAACCAACAAAAAACAGAAGAAAATAAATTAAGATTCTAAAGTATTAGCAGCAATATCTACAAACAAGAATAGTCTTTGCTAATTACTGTGCAATTTTAACTTCAATTCTGACATGCTTGGGTTTTTTTGTTTGTTTGTTTGTTTTTACCCCCACTACACAAGTATATTACCAGCTCTGATTTAAAAACTCACCCTAACCAACCAACTGAAAAAAAAACCTGACCATGAAATGCAGTGATTTGGTTCTCTGATTTTTCCAGCTTCTGAACTGGTTTATCAAACTTGAAAAGTTCTATCAGTTAGAGCATTCTAGCAGTGAAAGCATCTCCACTCTGATAAAACATTTATGTTTAAGTTAGCTGATACTGAGCAGTTAACCAGTGTCTGCTGCTTGGCCAGCCAGGGAACAGCTTAGGAATACTGAGCTGTGACACAAAGCTGCTCTGGGCCCACAGCCCATTTGTACAGTCGTGTTGATGTAGTGTCCAAGAGATCAGATGCACATTTAAAAGAGAAGCTAAAGCTCAAAATGTCATCATGGTTAGTATTTCTCCCTAACAAGGCTGCTGTTCAGAGCTGATACTGAGAAGAGGGAGGAGGAAGAAGAGAGGAGAGGTCAAGAAGGAGAAGGAAACACGGAAATTAATTCAATCTCTATTGTCCTTGCGACCTAACAAAACAAATCTGCTTTAGTGATTTATTTCTGTTTGCAAAGGAAGCCAGCATGATCCATTAGCAGGAAGTGGTGGGGATATCTTAAAGGCTTTATTGCACTGCTCATTTTTGTTATCTGATCGTGTCGCTGAATGTAGGGCACATGACAGTGTTATATATCGGTTTTCCTGGTTTGTTTTCTAACTACCGACTCAACAGCTGCTACTGTTCAAGACTTCTGAATAAAAACACACACAACAGAAACACGTAACTATGGAAATTCAGTAACTGCAGATTAAAGCTACAATGGAATTCAGGACTGTATTGAAATGAAATATAAGTTTACAGACTATTTGTCAGAAACACACACAATCTACCTTGGCCTCCCTTTACAGTGACACAAGTAATTATCCATGTGATCTGACTTGTTTTCTTCATAGCAGTGAACTGAAATCCAGGCAGCAAATCAATATGTTATGTCTCAGATGCCTATGGCACAGCAGACTGCAAACTACTTGCAGCAAAACCAGCAATACTTAGCCCAATGTCACTGCTGCTACAGGATGCTCTTATCTGTTAACATTTTAATCATCTTTTTAATTTATGTGGTAGCAAGGGATGGAAGTGATGCACAATAATTAAGCAAATCATGCTACAGAAGCTACTTGATACCAAGCAAACAGTGACACCTGGAAAAAAGGGCAATACAGAAAGAGGCAGCTACAGTCATTTTGCTCAATATGCAAGTTCACAAGGTCAGAAGCAATTTTCACTATGTATAAACTGCAAAATGCTTTTAATTTCAATTGGCATCCCTGATTTTTATGCTGTAGGCAGCCATCTGGCTAAAAAGTGACACTGGCTGCTGGCAGTGTGAGTCAAATGACATAAACTCCCAAACACTGTCTAAACCTGCTTTCACATTCACCTACAGGAAGGTAAAACATCCACTTGGGAGAATTTTTTTTAGAAGACTTCCCACAATGTTCAGTTTTCATGACTGAAGTGATCACACGGATGGATATGTACTCACAGTGTATGAATAAAGACTGAGGAGAAAAGTGAAGCTTATTTTGAGTTCTGGCAATGTACATACAATGCACAGTCTTGTGGTTTTCCTAATTCAGGCTTATATTATTGTTTTTATAACTTTATTGTTTACATTTTTATTATTTAGGCTAACTGTTGGACTCAATGATCTTAAGGGTCTTTTCCAACCTAAATGATTCTACGATTCTATATATTCATTTCCAAAATACTAGATACAAGTCTTTGATTTTAAAGTTCTGGGGTTTCATTTTGACTACTACAAATCTGAGTAACAACCTTTATCATTCAATACAGCTTCCAAAGCAGCAGTTGGTATTAAGCAGCGAAATATTCACATCTCCAGCTACTAATCTGGACTTTACAGCTCATTCCTGTAGAAGAAAGAAGAAATGCCTCGCTCCGTAAAATTTCAAGATGGTTTGTGTGAGGACAACCCGCTGCAAATTCGCTTCAAACAGACCAGGTTATTTTGGGAGATTAAAGTGCATTCTGTTAACTCAGAATGTTTTCTGTGAAAAGCATGGTACCACAACAAGAAAAGTAGCATAAAATGCTTAGCCTGGCCTCTCATGTGTGTACACTCAATAAAAATCCCTTTCTTCTTGTGGCCCAACATAGGTTTGCTCCATTTTGTGGGCACAGGACTGAGAATGCAGCTCACACAAGGAAGCCTCTGGCTTCCTGGCTGTTTGCAGTAACCCCAATGGGCTGGTGCTTACCGGAGTTTCTACCATGTTGGGCTTACTGTTCCGCAAAGTCTTCACAGCATGGAAAACGTCCACCACATTCTGTCTTTTTACCATCTCAACCACAATGGCAATGGCACAGAACATCCCACTCCGGCCACCACCGTTTCTGTACACAAGGAAAAGAGCTGGTTAAATGTCACTGTGGCATAAGAGAGCATCCAAAACACATTCCTGTTCTTTCACTCAGTAAGCACGAGTGATTCGTGAGTCCCACTGAGAGGACAGGCTTTAGCAACCTCCTTGAAGCTCCACTGGGTTTGGTCAGAGACATCTGCTGTTTCTGACCTTTCTACAATTACTTCTTTTGAATTCTGCCCTTACAGCCCACTGTGCCACCCTAATACCACAGGCATTAGAAATAAAAATCTAAGTTCAATGGCAAGTACAACATTTTCTGCTTAGTTCTGGAAGAAGACTCACTTAAATTATCCTATGGTGTGAGGATTATCTAGCCAGAGTAATGCCAAGGCATCACTGATTTGATATCTTATTGACCTTTGGGGACACTTCTGAACTATTTTAATCTTAATTTCAAAGAAATTAAGGCAGGCATTTCTTCTTATTAAGTTTAAATTAGCCAGAAGGTTCCACGGGTAATGAGAAGGGGTGGGCAGAAAGAAGTGACAAGTTAATTCTGAACATTTAATCAGAAGGCTTTTTTTAAAAAGTAAGAAGAAATGTATAATTAAATTTCTAAGTTTTAAACTTTATATTTAAACAAGGTAGGAGAGAGATTGGTCATTCTCTGCTTAGGGAGAAAAGAGTGCTGCCTTTTCAAAACTCCCAAACAAGTTACCATTTAAATAACAGGCTCAGATAAGCAGCCAGTGATCATTTACAAACAGTAGTTTTAGGATCACGTACTGTATTATAGAACTTTTCTCTGATTTCATATATCCATAGCTTTCAGTCTAAAACCCTCAAAATATAGTAGGCCACCTGGAAAAAATGCATCACACGATACGCAAGAGACACAAAAACCAACCATTTGGCACTCGGCATAAAAGACTTCCTTACTGAAACCATACAGAAGAAATTGATCTGTACACATTTTGTTCCTGAAAAAAATGCTATTGTGTACAGAAGGAGACAATGCACAGTATCACTGTAGTACCATGTCCAAAATATTCATTCCTATGGTACCCTGACCTTACAAAGACAAATCTGAAAGTTGACCAAAAGCCAACTCACAGTAGCAGTGGTACATTTGGGGTTTTTTTGGTTTTGTTTGATTTTTAATAGAAGAAACAAGGGTATGTGCAAAAGAATGTATCCATAAGAATACTGTGTGAACTTAAACCAATAACTAGTTTATAAGCACTTATTTGAAGATCAGCAATTTGACTTTCTCCCAGTTACTCACAGGCAATGGATGATGGTCCGGCCCTCCCCTTCTTCACATTCCTCTTGCCATTTTTCAACCTGGAGAATTAACTTCAAGAAGGATCTCTTGGAAGCTGGTACATCTCTGTGAGAAGCCCATCCCAAATACTGGAATTGCTGCACCATCAGATAGCCCTCTTGTGGCTGAGGGAAACCAAAGAGCTTTAGCTCAATATGGCACCTTTACATCTTGGTTTAGAAAACCAAAATATAAAACTAACATGCAATCTAAGTGTTTATCTTATGGACAGATTTAAACATGTATATACATTGCATGGTATGTATGGTCTCCATTAATTCACATCACTTGAGCTGAAGGCAGATGTCAAAAAAGAATAAGAAGGGAACTACATCGAAGACAACATCACAGTTTATCAGTCACTAATGTAACCTCTCCTGACTCTTCTAAGTAGACAAATTCCTCAGATTCCACATGTCACGGGTTTTTATCCTTAACATCAATAAGAAATTAAAACCATCACTGTTAAATTCTTAAACCTACAGAAATTAAAAGACATACCTTTGGCTCCCATGCATGAACTGACCCCATTATAAATAAACAACAAGTAATACTGAAGCACAAATATGACTCTCTTCCTTGAAGTCTTCCCTTTTTGCCAGACTGATAATCATGTGAACCTTGCTGCCAGTCTCTGAGCCTTCCATGTGCTAGTTGCTACACAGGGACAGCTTTGAATAGAATTAGACTGTCACAAGAAAGGACTCAATAATTGGAAGAATAAATAGTCTATTCCATTTCTTGGAGCTGAAGGAAGATGAAAAGGAGTAGGAATATGGATTTTAGAAAAGGAAGAAGAGAGCAGAGAGATATTTAGAAGTAAGACGCAAAGGTGAAAAGTCATGGGAAACAAAGAGAAGTAGAGGAGCAAAAAATCAAAACATAAGAAAAAAAGAAGAAATGGAAAAAGTGAAAATAAGAAATGAACAACAACAAAAAAAAGAGGAAGTCTCAAAATACAACAAAAAAGTGCTATAGCGTAATATTTGCCACTGTGCCTACACCTTAGCTTCCTGTAGCTTCCAAATAAGGTATGAAGAGCTGAAAATGTTTTTCTCAGCTCTGAATACAAGCAAAATAAAGGTTTGGATAAAATACTGGCCACACACAAACTGATCTCTGCACTTTGAAAAATGAAAATATGACCAAAATAATATTAAAAAAAAGAAAATTATACACAGTAATGGGTTTTCCCCACAGCTATTCTTCAACATTAATGAAAGTCAAACATGCTCTCCAAGTATCAGTCAGTGGCATGTAAGTTCAGTAGTGGATGAAAGATACAAAGTAGTTCTGGTAAGTAAAACAGGGACTGCTGGTTAACTGTACATGTAACGGTGGCACAAGCATCTGTAACTCTTTACCTGTAGGCAACATTAAGTGATTTACAAAGGTGAGCTAAAGGGGGAGACACCGCATGGCAAACAGGATTTGAGATGCTGTGATAGTGTGAAACATTACGGGACAGCAACAAGACAAGATAGTGCAAGGTGTGAAAGAGTCGATAAGAACGCAGGACTGGCACTGCTACTGAAGTTGAGAAAAAAATGATAAATGTAGGTCGAGGCACAGTTGTGCAGAACCCTTCAGAGGCAGAGGAGCTTTCAGAATGTTTTCACACCTCGCTTTGCAGGGTGTCACAATCCGCCTTTTATGTTGTGGTTCTTGCATTTTAGGCTGAGATGGTGCTGATTGCATAACCAGCCTCAGCGCTCTTGTTCCTGATTCACCATGGAAGATGTCTTACGGATGCTATGAATTAAATATCTGTCATTACATGTTAATTATAGGGATATTTCTTCCACTGCACACTAGACAAACAGAATACTTCTCATACATCTTCTAGTCATCAGGCAGAATGCCACAGAACAACAGTCATTCACCTTACTCCTCTCTCTGCTTAGTGTGCAGCTATAGAAAAGTACTTGAAATTAGTATTAAATATTGATGCTTGACTGACTCTTTTCTGTGTAATGTTTTAAGAACATTAGCATTTTACTATTATTCAAAATTAAAACCCACAAGAGCCTAGAGAGTGTTAAAAAGGACGTATTTTTCCGTTACATATTGTTACGATGATGCTTACTCTCGTTAGATTGCATATCCTGAAAATTCGGTTTATGACGTCGCAGTCCATTGAACACGACATGCATTCCACTTGGATGGGACCGTACCGCAGTATCCCTTCCTCAGGCCAGTATTGCGGGCAGCCCTGTACCAGAGCAAAACGGGCATAATTAAATGGTAAGTTACAACTCAAGCATTGCCTTATTCCACTGCAGACATCTCACCTAACCTTTACCGAGCAACCAGTGTTAATTAGTTGCTGTAACACAGAGAATAACTGTAAAGTCACTGCACTGCTCTACATTTTGATCATGTAGTGGATCCAGAGTGATTAAAGCATGCAACGGTGCACAGAAAACTCAAGCCCCAAACTAACCTGTGCTAAGTCGACTTCATTTAACATCACAAGAGAAGTACAGCCGTAGTCATACACTAATCTCCAGAAATCTTTCACAGTGTTTGGTAAAGGATGTTGTGTGACAATAAAAGCTGCTGGCTGCCTGTAGCTCTGTAAAGGCAAACGATTTCATTAGCACCGGTAGAGGAAATATTTCATAACTTCCACTCAAACACTGCAACAGAAAACACATACAAATAGAACAAAGCTGCAACATCAGTTACACCCGATTTCAGCAAAGCTGATGTTACAAATACATTATCATGTCCAGTAAGAACAAAGAGGTTACTCTGCTCAGGCCTGCCCTCTGCTTTGTTACAGGCCAAGCCCTCATGTTCGGATATGCCCGAGGCACTGAAGGGGCTCTTCAGGGCTCTGCTGAGCTGAGGCTCTGGGAACTCCACTCCCAGGCACTGTGTCCAGGAAACCTTCTCCCCATGTTGCAGAGAGGGGTGCAGGGGTCTCTCTCAGAAGGGTCATCCCATCCACAGCAGGTTACTTGTGAGCTCTGTGACTGAACCAAGGACTAAACTCAATCCCAGATTCTATTTCAGTGCCACAGCCACAGGGTCACCCATGGAACTGACCTTCAGGATTACTGGACCCATTTCCAGCAGAAAGCAGAAGTTGAACAGCAAAATAATACTATTTCCTGTCATGACAGCAGATTCCATTTTCTGTATGCTGGGTTATACAAAACAAGGATTGCCAGTCTTGCATAGGTTAGCTGAGATGCAACTAATAGAAGAGGGGCTAAGTCCCTGCAGCACATGTATTACAACCAGAAGCAGGAAAGGAGAGATCAGAAGATTTTGCAGGTGATTTGCAACTATTCTCAGAAGTGTTCTGTAGTGAAGGAATACACATATGAACTGGCAAGGAAGCACTGACAGGTTAATCTGAGAAACAGAGTAAGATGGTCAATATTCTTGTAGGTGGATGGGACTGTAAGTCACCAGTTTGAAGTGTTGGAACTGCTGTATGCAACACAGAGAACCATGTTTTTAGCACCCATACTGGTACCAAAAACTGTTTGTCTGTTTTTTTACTTAATTAAGTATAGTAAATTCACCTAGAAGAAAGACATGGTAGGGTAGCTAGACCACTTTTGGTATGGAAGCTTGCTTGTTTGAAGATTGATATGAGGGATCTTCACATGCAATGTATTGACATACTCTGGAAGAGCATAGTGTGAGGCCCAGAAGGCAAAAATACAATTCTTTTCACCCTTCTACTTGCTGTAAATTGTGAAGACAACAAATTAATGTCTTTAGCATCAGTGCTTGTTTGACAACAGAATAAAGAGGCTGACAATTTTTAATCTATGTTTGCTATCATTTTCTAATGCAGGGAGCATACTGAGGGAGTAGCAGCTTCTGTCCTACTTCCTAGATCTGCCCAGGGAGCAAAGAGGAAAAATCAACACCGATTCTTCCCTTGTATTTTTAAGAAATAAAACATGTACTAGCTGATGGTTTCCTAGCCCTCTTCCCCACTGTTTCTGGTCTTTCATGAGATGAGAGAATGTACTGAGTCTGAGGTTATCAGGTTTTCAAAAAGAACAGGCAGGAGATCCACTTTCACACTGGGAAGTAGGGAAGTAGACACCTTCTTATGGGAACACAGGGACAAGTATGTTGTGGAAAGGGGAAAGCTTCCATTTCTGTTTTGTTATGGAAAGTCCCCTTTCCTTGCCCAGCAGTGGGGTCGCCCTCTCTGAATAAATCAGTCTTAAAAAGAATCAGAAGAGAAAGGGCAAGGAAAAGCTTTTATTGCCCAAAGTTTTAACCCTGTAATTACAGCCTTGCTATATGCCTTCATTGTCATACACTACTTTTTTTTTCTGCTGGTTGGTCCATAGCACATAAATTCTATTCAGGTGCTTAATGTAATTTTAACTGCAATTCTAAACAATTTTGGTTGCTACCAAAATTCTGCTCACTGCTCTAATGCATTCATTCAGCCTCAGTGACGCTCTAATAGATTGGTCTCACACATGCTACCCCTCTATTTTTCTGGCACAATAGCTAATTGTGAGATTAGGAAATGCATTTTGCTAGCAGTTCAAATGTTTCCTGCACTAACTCAGGCAGAACTCTGGGATTAATATAACATTCAGTCCTGATGACTTCTACTGCTATTTTCCATTTTATTCCAGCACCTTTTCTTGACACCACAGTTTATGACAGCACTTCATTTTGAGGAAGGGGAGATGCTCCGGGAAATCAGGTCACTTATTTAAGTATGTACTATAAAGGGTAGCTTTAGGGGCTTAACTTTGGAAATGCTAATGGCAGGCACAGGCAGGTATCTGACAGCACATGTGATAAACTGCTTTATCGATCAGACACCTATAAGCAGGTTCACCTCCATTTTCCCATTAATTCACCTTTTCCCCTGACAATACTTCTGTCACTCAAACTTCAACTTTGAAGAGCTGCAACTCAAAATATGAACCCTATCCCCAAACATCCCAAAGAAACATTTTTTTTTTCCTTTTTCCCCTGTCTCTTCTGTCTCAGTATACATAGCCTTTTTTATAAAATAGTGGTAGTAACCTCATGCTCAGGTAGGTAATATTTACTTTCTGACATACAGCAGATTTTTGAGATCCTGCTGGGATTTGAAGAGCTGGAGACTAGAGCTTTATATAATGCTGTTGAAAAGAGGAGATTTCCAGTAGGTCCCACAAGGATGCAAATGACTAAAGATAACAAACCTCCTGAATAAGCAACACAGCTGGTGGGGTTTCTTACCCATTTCCCCCTACCCTTCTTTGTTAGGACTGTTCTACTGGGCACTACGGTAAGAAAGAATTACCCTTTCTTAAACCAGTAAGTGCTCTCTCTCATATTACACAGCTTTTCACGGCACACTACGCAGACAAAGAAGATAGTCTCTTACGTCCATAAGAGCAGCATTGATGTAGTTGCTGCTCTCCCCATCAATAGTAATTAAGAAAGGCAGACATCTGTCAGGTGGCAGCATATCCATGAAACGGTTCTTGTCGTGGTTCCTTGGCAAGCAGGCTATGCTGCAGTCCTCCGCTTGCAGGCGAGGGGTCACAGAATTCAGGGTCTAAGGGAGAGAGGATGCTCGTTTCAGCATGCTGAACAGACAGACAGTGGACTTGAGATTCTTCAAGGTTTAATTTAAAATATTGCAATATGGGAAAATGTGAGGCATTAGCAAGAAGACAATAGCAAACAAGAGCTCGTATCTGTTTGATGGACCTGCTGGGGCTTTTCAAAGGGGTTTAAGCTGCTGGTGTAAAAGGCACTCTGTGTCCCACTGAACAGATTCCACATGACACCATTCTCTCCAAAAGGAATAAAACAAGGGATCCTTTGGAGACATAAAGAGCTATGCCTTACCTGTGAAAATGCAAGCCAAAACTCTCGGTGGTTCCTAGTCAGTGCTCTCTATTCCAGACAGATATTTACTGCATTTTTATTCCAAGGAGGATACTCAATATTTAAAACAAATTTGCAAAACACATAAACACAGGTGCTTTATTTTGTGGACTAAAAGTAAGGAATCAAACGCTATAAATGTGTTATGAAAACCTTTTCCCTTAAAATAAATTAAATGTATCTAGAGCCAAGAGAAATGTTGTCACGTGAAGAGTTAGTAGGAATTGTGAATACCTGAAACTCATCTTTGAGATGCGAAGAGTTTGTCTGAGAGTCTATTCTAATCATATCAAAATAAGCAGCTTTGAATTCGCAGACAGGAATTGCAGTTTCTCCACACAGGCAAGCTTCTAGAATGGCATCATGAATAAAGATGTACTGCTCCTACCAAATTAGGCAAAGAAACAAAAATTATAGCCATTTTAAAACAACAGATCTTTCCTTCTTTTAGGTTAAACACATCTCCTGCACACTACAAAACTCATTCAAGGTAGTGTCCATCAATCCATTAACTAATGCTTTAGTACAAACACAATCTTGTCCTCATTGGGGTGCAGTTAACAAGGATGTTTTCCTCAGAAGCATTTTAAATTTGGTAACTCTTAACAGAACAGGCATGGCAATTTATTTAACGTGAAGTTTTCAGTTTCCTTGTGGTGCTTGTGGCTTTCTGCTTATATGCCAGTGAATTGTTGGCTTTACCCATTTTGTTTTTTTTAAAAATAGCTTTCAGTCTTAGAATACTAGCAGAAAGTGTAAACTGCTTCAAGCACTACTAGTCTGATTAGCAATTATTTGTCACGCTGCATTCTCCTTATGCGTGTGCAAGCTAGTTCACCAATTGTCTGACAGCTGGCTCTAGGCCAGTAATAAACTCATGTGTGTCCCAACAGAAACTGCATTTCTTCCCCCCCCCCCCCTTTTTTTTTTCTGACTTGCCTTGAGATATCCTGAGTCCTAGACAACTGCATCACTACTTCAATCAGGCCTCCTGTCAATTTTTACACAAGGTCTATTATATTTACTCACCCTGAGAGTAAGAGAATGAAATCATGTCCATACAGCAAAGTGTGAATTCAAACTGTGCCAGCCTCACCTACCTATTGTGGATACCGATGAGGTTATTAACAGCACAAACTTTAACCTGTGCTTGTAACAAGAGTACATGTCCAGGAACCATGGTTTTATTCTGGCTGTACAGCCCATGGTGCCTTACCCAGATAGCTATGGACCTATTGCCAATACTGGTTAGATGACCATCACAAGAACTTGCTGCAATTACAGCTTTATTTTGCTGTGTAAGTATGAATCTCAGAGAGAACATGACAGGTAAGAGGCAAAAGGGAGAGAAAGGGAAAGGAACCGCAGTAGGGATGTTAATTCACATGTAAGAGCAGATTAAACTGGGATGGTGGAAGCAGTCACACTGAAACACTTCACCCCATGCACTTCCCAAAACTTAATGGCCCTGTAGCAGGGGTAGTTGATTAGGAACATTTACTTCTTCAACTGCCATAGGCTGCAACATGGAATAAAAACTGCACTAAACTACATTGATATGCCTGGCTGCCAACTGCAGATATTTGCATGTGGTCACATTCAATATCACAGGTGAAATAACAGGTAGATGTCCACATGGAGGGCAATAGAGAGAAGTGGCAAACCACTTCAGGTAACCTGTCTTAATATAAATCAACAACCTATGTTTCTGTGGAAGGTCAGTGATACTCAGGTGGCAGACTGGGAGCTGTTACAGCTCCATCACTAAGGCAATGGTTTTACTGTGGAGTAACTGAAGGCATGACAAAACACAAAAAAGGTAGAAAAGGAAAAAGCCTTGGCAATGAGGTTAATAAAGCAAATAAAAAAGAGTTGAAAAGGGAAAGTGAAATGGACATAAAGTTCCACAGGTAAGTCAAATTATGGGTAAAGTAGTTGCAGATAAGTCTAAAACCTGTGGCAACCTGCTGAAATTCCAACTTTGGGTACCTGGAATTGCTGATACCAGAGCTGGGGAGAGACATGCCAGCCAGGTCTACTGTAGGGTCTTCTCTAAAAAATTCTCCTTCCTTTCCTTTTGTTACAAAGTTAGGCAGGCACTTTTTTGTGTGAAGACTGAAAGAGGTGGCAGGTTTGTTGCACCATCCTGGTTCTGGGCACTTTTTGCAGTGAGCAATGCTCCTCAGTGGAGAAAACCCCTCAACAGGGTCACTGCCTGCTCTTTTCAGACTAACAGTGAAATTCTGACCCAGCATATTCCAGAAAGCACCAGGTGCTTTGCACATAAAATGTTGTACCTCTGTCTGTACCATGTTGATGCGACGGGACCGTAAGGCTTTGACACAGTTGTAGATATCCACAACACCTTCTCTTTCTGCCATATCTAACATGATATCGATTACAATATAACAACCTGTTCGTCCAGCACCAGCACTAAAAAAAGAAAATCAGTAAATGCTGTTAGGAATAGTCCCATGAAAACACCTACAAACTTTATAAACCCAATACTGAGAACATTTTTATAAAGTCATTCAACTCTTTCATCATTACCACTATCAAATTCTTATCTTCTCTCCTTCTCTTCATAATGTCTTTTAAATCTTTTGATGTGCCCAAAACAACCATTTTTCCACCAGATTTGATCCATTAAGTAAAAGCAAAACCAAACCAAAACAAAACCTGTTTTCATCCTTCACCCAGATTAATACTTAAAGGAAAAAAGAAAAGTTAGTTAAACAGAAATCTGGAGGACAATTAAGCACAAGCACTTAAAAAATATGACAGATCTTGTTTTTATGTAATAAGACTAAAGATGATTTTTAAGTGATACATTACTTAAAGTAAGTAAGATAAGAAACTCAAGTATATATTTTTACAGCCAAGCTCTAAGCTGGTTCAGGCAGCACATTTAACAGTATCCAGAAGAATCACTCCTGATTTATGTTGCTTTTATTCTATTTGTGAAAGGACTGTGTCCCTACGACACAAACCTTGCAAAACTTGCACAGGAAAAACAACATTCTGTATTTGTTGCCATTAACCTCATTCCATCTTCCTTCATCTACTTGTTTCCTTTGATTTAAATTAATAATCTGTTCAGACATTATATGCAACACCAAGCTATCAAACAGGCTGTATCTCCACTTACTCTTGACTGCTGTCACAAAATTGTTGTAGGCTACCTAAAACGATAGCCTGAAGTATCATATGATTTAGCTGGTGCATCTCTTGCAGGAAAAAGAAAATCTCTGGCTATTCTAATTAGGAAAAATGTATTAGAATTTGCTTATTTCCAAACATTGCTGTAGACAGCCAAATCCTATCACAGTGTGAATTAAGCAATTCAAAAAGGGAACAACATCATCAAAAAACTTCAAAATTATGGATGCTTCACAAGAGAGTACTGTAAATGCTCACATACATGGTTGTGGAAAAAATCAATCTACCTCTTCTGTACACACCTGCAATGAACAACAATAGGCCCTGCACTAGGAGGGTTGGATAATTTGACTCTCCGTATAAAGGAAAGCAGGCCTGTAGCATTGTAAGGAACCCCATGATCTGGCCAGCCAGTGAAATGAAACTGTTTAACTTCACGGATTTCATTGTAGCCCCTCTGCAAAAAACAAACAAATAAAGTTATGAAATTAAAAGTCTTTCATAGACTAAATATTCTCTGATTCAAATAATGATAACACACACCTATAGAATCTACATGCTGTTTTCATCATTTCGCCAATTATTTAAAACAAAGACCACACAAAGCTTAAAGATGTCATTCGTTTTTTTTACATTTTGAAGTTCATAATTTTAACTTTTGCCATTAAGTATGACAGTTGTGTCTCATTATTTTATACACTTAGATGCAATTAGCATTGATTTTCAGAAGTTTTTTCTAAGACAACGGCCTGCTACATTTACAGGCAAGTATAATGATTTACCAGAAGACCACAACTGCATCACATATATTACATTCACAGTGTTTATTCTCTGAGTAAGCGAGATTGACTCAGTGGCATTCAGGGTAGACTAAATGGAGATGAATGACAGGTGTGACTCATAACCAGGTACTGGAGCTCAGCTCAGAAGCGTGGCCACAGAGAAGAGGTGACTGTCAGAGAGGTGAGGTGAGCAGTCAACATTTCTGGGGAAACTCAGAATCTCACAGTGAGATGCAGTTTGGCTAGCACTGATGCAATGGGAGTGATGCTCACTCCCACGGTGAGGTAAAGCTGTCTACACTGTGGACCTGCTAACCAGATGGAGGGATTTGGTATTGCACAGGAATATGTGCAAGCATAGCCTCCTCCATACCGATGGCTACCAGGGAACAATATTTTGCCAAGCCCTTTAAAAACGTGCTCACCCTTCCCAGAGTGAAGGTCCTGACGACGTACTCCGCAAGGGGTTCCATCTCTACACAAGTCACTTTGAAATCACCATAAACTTCAGTGTCATCAGGCCAGTATTTGTAACACTTGACCTAAATACAAAATGGGAATACATTTTACACCAAAGGAAAATAAAAGCTTGAGAATACGTTTCTGCACGTACTGCATTACACCACATTCATTTTCACAATGACCATGTGCTCATGGCTTGTCATGGCTAATGGTCATTCTGTCAAGTTAAGCACTAGCTACAAGGAGTTTCCACTGCTTTACACAGCTGTACTTAGATGCCAAATTCATTTCTAATTGACCATTTATACTTTTTTTTTAGTGCTGAGCTATGGAATACATTTCCACTTATGTTAAACTGAAATGCATTTCATATCAGTAATCAAACTGTTGCAAGTAATCCCAGATACTTTATATTAGTCCCTGAGGGATGTGTTATTGCTAAACTGTAAATAATTTGCTGATTTCTAGACACTGATATGGAAGCACCTTTGCTCGCTAGTCCAGTTATTCTGCTCATTTGAGTGACTTAATATACAAATCTATTTTGCTGAAATATGAATTTTGGATTCAGAAAATTTTTCACTATTCATGAAAGCAACACAGCATCAGACTTCAGAAGTTAGCTACGGTTTTACACAATACTGTAACTCACAACAATGCCTGAACTACCAACTCTCCCCCTTCCCCTCCTCTCAGAATGCAGGGCTGTCCTTCACAAGACTCTTCTACATTCTGCTGATAATATGTCTTTTCAGCAGGTTTTTCTTTAGGCTTGTTGCATTAGAAGAAAAACAAAACAAAAACTTACTCTCCCAACTTCCACTAGATTTGTGACCATCACAACGCAAGCTGATTGCTCCTGCCATATCATTCTCCAAAAATCATACACAGTCTCATGAACTGGACCTGTAAGAAAAGTTCCAGGTAAAACTGTGTAACAAAGTAACAGTCAAAGCGAATGCTAAAAATAAAATCTAGTGCTTTTCAGAGCTGACACGCACGAATGTGCTTGCTTAGAGATGAAAGCTTCACGAAACCACATCATCATACTATCATGCCAGTTTCCAGACTATATTGTTATTTTTAACCAATGCTGAATCTTCTCACTTTAACTGAATTACCACTTGAAAGAAATTAATAGCAGGTGTTTGATGTAGTGAAACACCAGAAGTTGCTTGAAAACTACAAGGACACAGCAATGCGTGACTACATCTATAGTTACATTTCTAGGTTTGTTTTACATTTATTAAATATAACGTGTTGAGTGTGAGCTTCTTCATATGTTCACCAAGGAGATACCGGAGCGAAGTATCAGTCGGGGGGCTGATGGTACAGACCCTGTGCACCTACTACCTAGCTCCTCGCAAGGTGTGCAAGCACAAGTGGGCACTGAGCCATATACTTCCCACTGAAAGGTATTTAAATGAACCGAATGACTTTTCTGTGAAGCAAAAGAGGAGCACTTGTTTAAGCTTTGCCTCCTGCTCTGCTGCAGAGGCAAGACATGTTTGGTTGAGGGACAGAGGCTTTTAACCTGTTAAAATCATCTCAGAAATGTCTCCCTGACCACAGTCCAGCAGCAGTAAAAATGTTATTGCATATAACACATCTGAAGGCTCAACCATATTCCTTTATATGCTAGATCGAAGGCTGTATACTAAAGCAGCAATAAATTTTTATGTCCTTCACACACTATTATGTGCAATGATTTACATAGTAAAACAGATATAAAATACAAAAGTAGACTTAACTGCCATAGAGAGACCTGTTTAGACACCACTTACACAAAAAGAAAAAAAATGTGGACAGAAATTTTAGTATCCTGCTTTAAAACAAGCCTTTAGTTTCTTTCCTGTGTGCAGCTACAATCAAAAGCACACAAATAGCAGGATATTTCCAGTCAGTTATCTGATTATACTCACAGATCAAATAATGACACATCTAAATCTAATTATTTTTACTTTAATTCATAGCCTCTAATATTTCAGTGCAATCTTAGACTAATCTATTTGTTTTCCCTCATTGTGAGAAGTTTTATCAGAAATACAAAATGAATAATTTCCATAGAAATTCAATTTTTCCCTCCAACTCCCCTTTTTATTACCAGGGTGTTATATGATAAAGATTTCCCGCACTACTTCTTACAAAGAGGCTTTGTCCTTCTCTGGCCTTATTTTACCCAGATTTTCTGAGATAGCATTTAATTTATCATCACTATCTTCATCGTCTCCATCCTGGACTAAATCCTAGACACAAAAATAATGTATTGTAATATGGAAAGAAAAATGCCTCAAGGTAGGTTGAAACTGTTCTCTTCTCTGTCCACATGCCTCTTTTCTCTATTCAACTTCAACAATAATTGGAAATCATGGTAGTAACTTCTGACTTATCAGTTGAATTTATCACTGAATGAATTGCTCAATAGCTAATTAACATGACAAATTGGTGCAATTTTTGCATTTATTCACATTCCACCTGAACATGTTATGTTAATTTACCATAACACAAGATGACAACTCACAATATTGTTTATGCTTTATTTTCATCTACTTCCATTTCACCAAAACACTGCTGGACACTACAGAGAACACTTGTTCGGGTTGATTAATGCTGGTAGATTCTTACCTTGTGTTGCAATGTAGTGACTTGGTCTCTGATATCCCTAAAAGCAATATAAATTGGTTTGAGTATCATATTACTAACAGAGAGGGGAAAATAAAAGCATAAGGTACTACAGAATTCCTATCTCTAGACAACGTTTTCAGAACAAACCAATATTTAAGAGCAGCATCAAGCTCAAAACCTAAAAAACAGTTAATACTGAAAAGGTTCGAATGACAACAAATAAAATGGAAGTAAGAACATCTGACTTGAACAGACATTGTGTTGTACTGGGAAGGAGTATTTTAAATGGGTCCCTTGGGCCTAAAAATTACTTCTCTATTGATACTATCTCCCCAGCTGAATACACTGGGGTGTTTATTTAAAATGCAGTAAAAATTCTCTTTGCCATCAGATTGTCTCGGTGGTTGATCAATGTTCCCAAATCATCCAATATGGAAAAAATACACATCTTTTTTTCTTCTTATAAATAGAGAAATATTGTAAGGCCCAGAGAGTTACCTATCCAAGCCATAACTAACGGGGACAGGCATTTCCCATGCTAGTGGTGTGTGCACAGAGTCAAGGTCCTGCTGCCATCAAATCTTCTACAAAATATTTTGCACTACTGCACAAAGCGTGCATCAATCATACTGGACATGGTAGGCACAAGTATATACACATACATATATAGATAGACAGACAGATAGATAACCCTACACAACTAAGCCTTTCCAGTTAGCTGGGTCCATGCCAATGCTAGTGGCACTGTACAGTATTAATTGTCTGCATAACAGCTGCAAGACAAAGAGATTCTGCTCTTGAGGAAATAATTCAGAATATATTTTGACCAGTGCCAGCAATATTAGCTACAAAGAGGATGGAAACTTTAGTATTGCTGGAGAAGACAACACAGAATTTTACAATGTGCAAATGAGAAAGAAATAACTCCAATTATTTTCTAGGTTACAGTTTTATTAGGCCACTTGAATTAAGTATTGCATTACAGGAGCATGAGTCCTTGGATTCCTGGTATACACAAGATGATACTAAAGTGAAGGATTTCAGTGTACTCAAGGAGTTTATATCCTTTTCCATGGTCTGCTCTATTATCCTGTCTAGAGTGAGAGCACCTTCACCTGGAGTTTATGAAAAAACTTCTGAGTATCTTAATCTTGGCTTTACAAGAGATCAAGATTGCATCAAATGACTAAAAAATTTCATCTGGAGTCCTTAATATCAAGCCCTAGCTTCAAATTGTGAAAGTGGAACCTGTGCTGCACTGTTTTATACTCAGTAACGCTTTCCAGAAGGTAAAAGTGTCACTTTAAAATTGCGAACTGCCAGTTTTAACTTGTAGCTTTCCTGTCTGGTTATAATGAGATTCAATTTACTCCTAAATAAGAGAAACAACATCCTCAAGGAACTGGAATTATTACAGATCTGGGAAAGTTTCCTTGTTTAAGGCCCCAGGCAAAATATCACAGGCTTAACACTTCACAGAGACTGCTGTGTAAAAGCATCAAAATAAAAATACAGTGATATACCTGGAGCTAAATCTTTATCTTCTGGAAAGTTGAGAGGGTCTTAAATAATTTATCAACTAACAGTGGACAGGAAGAATTAGTAAGGTGCAATTATAAAAAAAAGCAACCAAAGCCAGGTATTTTAAAAACACTCGTACTAGCTATTCCAGTATCTTTTGAATTACTTTGAATTACTTTGAATACTGTAACTTGTTTATTCCTAAGGTGTTAATTGGATAAAAGTTATATTTTGTTAATCAAAACACCTGGCAGAATTTTTTAAAAATTCCTGTTTGTATCAGGTTTTTGTTGTTGTTGTTTTGTTTTTTTTAAAATTTAATTTATAATTTAATTTGTATTTTAATCAAAGCATGGAATTTCAAACTTTATAAGTTTTCTGCAGAAGCAAGGAAATTTCTGCTATCATAAATACATTGATTTATATATATACGTTTGTGTATATACTTTTTAATACCTAAATTAGCACCTTTAGACAAATGTCAGCTAAATATTCTTTGTCTAAGTAGTTGTTAAAAACAAGCACACCCCCCACCCCCACCAAAGGCCATCATCCTTCCCTTTTTGCAAAACATATATTATGACTACTTCATAGGTACATTTTCAGACAATTACAGTACAGTACATTATCCAGCTTCTCACATATAAATGGGAAAGTGAAAAGAAAAGCTAGTGGCCAAAATCATCATAATTTAAAAAAAAAAAGTGAACAGCAAATTCTCTTTAACAGACAAGTTCACCTGAATTATCTAACATTATCTAACAATATTCAGAGCTATGTTAAAAGGCTAAATTATCTTTTCAAAACAGGTACAAAAAATATTCACACGAAAGAAAATTTTTTAAAGGAACAGATGAGACAAATTAGATGAGGCATGCATACTTATCTAGTGATAAAAATAGAATAGGAAACTAAGTAATAACAATATCTATATTAAATATTTACAATAGGATGCCATTATTCACATATAGTGGTACTTACATCCCTGTACAGCCAAATCTACAGCCCAAACCAAAGTCAGGTGTGAAAGAAAGCACAATAATGTCAGTGAGTACTAGGACGTAGAACAAGGAAAGTGTACATTTTCTTCTTAATAAAAGAAAGTTTTCAATAAATTTGTAGGCATAACATGCAATAGTTTCACATAAAGAAGCTGGCAAATTGAGAGGGAGAAAGCTGTGCAATCCACTCACATCTATGTAGTTGGCATTAATGTAATCTGAAGATGGATCATCTTCAACAGGTTGCAAAATCACCCTGGAGTGGTCATCTGTAAAAACCAAGTGGTTATGGTGCCTTTTTGAAATGTGATTTTTAAGTAAGATATTACGGTAAGTTGCCTAGAAAACCAAAATCACCTGGCATAAGTGTCCCACAATTTACAACCCTTAAATAGTAAGTTTTTACACAGAATTACAAAGAACCATTTTGTCTGAGGTCTCCAATTACTTCAAAAACATTGACTAAACTTCATTAAGTGTAGCTGAAAGGTAGCACATCGTTACATGTGGTTAAAAAGGCACAAAGAAAACAGGTTACTTGCTCAAAGGCCCTTTCAAAATCAGCTCCGCTGACGGTAATCTAGAAAACTAAAAGTCTTGATTACTATTTTCTTACTTCTGACCTCAGCCTGCTTAAGTTCATACTGAGATATTAAAAAAGTAAGTTAGCAATGCACTTTGGATTGGATGAAGAGGTAACTCTGCCCATTCAGAGACGTGTCCGATAGCTTCATTCCTGCACGTTCAATGGCATTTGTGAAACAGTTAACAAATTGCGTTATGCCAGGGGATGAATCTAAACTATTGAAACTTTATGCCTAAAGACAAGATACAGAACCCTCTAATTTTAGTCACATCTTTTAATCATCAGTTTTACAGAACTACTATTCAGGTCTATCAGCTATAAATCACATAAAGCTGAAAAGTTTTGAAGCTGTCAGATTTACCTGAAATAAATTATAACTGCAGAAAACTGCCACAGAATTAACATCTAAATGAGTGCTAGTTTGTCGTTGTTATATGCTTACCACAGCTTGCACAGCAGAGATGCAAATACGAAATTCAGCCTGGGTTATAAAAGGAAGAAAGTTGAACTGTGAAGGACAAAAAAAAAAAAAAAAATCCTGGAAAAGGCACTGTCCTCCTTCTCTGCTTGGGGTATTAAGCAGCTATGCCACCGGAGACTTGTAAAGAAAGAGAGAGCATGGCACAAGTAACACACGACTATGGTTACTGCTCAAACCAAGCACACCGATACTCACATGCTATAATGTTTCCATAGCGGTTCTTTGTTCTGTTTTGATCCTTCTTAGCGACATCCCAAGAAGCTGACTGCCCCTCAAAGAAACTCTATAAATAAAAATGTTCCGAAAGAAAACATTCTGACCATTAATTTATCTCCAAAAATAACAGTTTAAAAGAACTGCCCTACCATAAAATAAGCTCAGCTTTGCTCGTCCGCTCTGGTCAGCCAGACAGCACCATGGTACAGAAATACATCTAGAGAAGAAGGGAGATTCTCTCCCTCTGACTGCTATGGGTCAATGGGAAAGTGACTGAGGGACTCCAGAGGGATTTCAAATCCTGGAATGGCTGGAAGGCTAAAAGTTGCTCAGACACCCTTGCCATGGGGGAACAACAGCAAGCTGAGAAAACATAGGGAGATCGATCACCCTTCTTACAAGATACCGTAATATACAGCCTGTTTACGATAGCATTACATCGCTTTCCTCATATTGTTTAGTAAAATGGCTTTTCTTCCTACAGATCCGTCAGGAAGCCTCCTCTGCCAATGCTTCTGTTCATGGTTTTTTTCCCTCATACCCTCCCTCTAGCCCCTACCAAAATTATTCTACATTTTTGAACTTTTCTTAGAGTCTGATTGCTCAGTAGTGATAGAAGCACCTTTTATTCCTCCTCAGGTTTTTCTTCATTGCCCGTAGATATTTTACAGCTGTTGCAGGTTTATGCTATTCTTTCCTTCCAGATGTTCTCTTATCCTGACCTTGGTAAGTTACCTCCGGAAAGCACACAGTAGCCACAGAAACAAAACTTTAATGCATGCTCAGAAGCCCAAGCTAGGGCAAAGATGTCATGTATGGTAACAGAAGAAGTAGCAAGTAGGAAAACACCTGATGTGGCATCAGGAACCACCCTCCCCCCAGCAGTGGTTGACACTTGGGCTTAGCCCTGAAGTTAGGCAGAACATAACAAAGTGTATTTAAGTAAAAGAGAGGAAAAGAGAATAATATTCTTTTAAAAACCACACATTTATTTATTCCAGTTCTTATGTTACAGTAGAGAAAGCTGCAGAAAAGAGAGAAGGTTGAAAACTGAGTCAGAAGAGATTACTTACTCAGCAAAAACTCATTTTAAAACTAGCTGCATTGTGTGTGACCTTGGCAAAGCACCATTCACATCTTTAGTGTGTGTCCTGCCTTATATTCTAATCCCAAAGAATCACAACAGATTCAGAGATCAGAAGCAAAACGAATCTGTACTCATCTTCTACCTCCAGTGCTGGGAAATTTTTTTGCTTCACTTTTAACATTAAAGTTGTAAGTAGACATGCTCAGGCAGGTCTAATTAGAACTTCAAGAAGTTACTACCCTCAGCACGTCTTTACTGCTTCTCAGCTGGAGTTTAGTCCCAGTACTGCCCTACTGAGATGCTATAATAAATCACAAGAGTGCTTCCAGTTAGTGCTTCTTGCAAAACCAGCCAGGTTAAATTTTTACCTTAACCTAATCCAGGAGATCTGCACTGATGACAGCTCAGAAAACTCACATAACTAATTACAGCATTTCAACTAAGAACCAGCAACCAAAGGGTGGCAACTTCTTACAATACATCAAAAAGATTCATCAGGGCATGTGTTCTTATGCCTTAAAGAATACAGACGGTGTTTTTTCCAGGCAATTGTAATTGCTCAGACCATTGAATTCCACTCACTATTTCACTTTTGGGTTACATATATAGGAATCTAACGCCTGCTTATCTTTAACCGTTTTTCACTTAAACCCATGACATATAGTCGCATCCTTCTGCAATGCAATACAAACAAAAGGCTGCAACTTTCAAAGGGATTTTTCCTAGTAAAAATCCACCACTGAAGATCTCACCTCATACTCCTCTTTAAATCCATAGCTGTCAGAGGTCTTCATTAGGTTAATATGCTGCAGCAGATCGGCCACCCTGATAGCAGGGTGCAGCTGCCCAGTCTGGTATGGGGATTCTGTGCCTTCACAGAGGTAACGAGGGACATCCAGGAGCCGGCTGGACTCTGCTGTTGCACTGTGATTTTCATCTGTATTCACAAGAAATCAATGCATTAAGTACGTGCGGAGCAATAACACCTGATGCTATAGATATCAACACCTATTTTCAACCTCTTCCTTCAAAAACATATCTAATTTCTGAGAACGCAAAGCACTTACTCTCCAGCACATAAATACTGTGAAGTACATAAAGGAATTTAACTGCAAAAACATACAAAGGTTTGCATTCCTTCATCCTGCAATAAAGATGTCTGAAGGGTGTTTTATTTGAAGCTACAAAACTTAATGCATTTGTGAACTCCAGCCTCTATCAACCAAAGTAACTTTTTTAAATGGCTAATATGCATCAACAGCAATACTACACCTTAAACAATAAATTAGAATAACTCTGTAGTGATACCAGCACATCATTTGTCTAAAGCCAACAATCAGTTAAATTCGATCCCAGTGAAAAAGAGAAGCCATTATGCTACTGCTTCAGAACATCACCTCCATTTGGGAAGATGAATCAGTACTTCAGAGTGGTCATTTTAACTCAGGTCTTTTAGGAGAGAAATGAAACTGTTGAGTATGCTGATTTCAGCCAAAGTTTTTCTCTGTATAAACAAAGTCTCCTCTGACGTCCTACATTACACCAATTCTCGTATCAAAACCAGACACCAAAGCTGCATGATCACATTTACTCAATCTTTTCTGTGAAATATATATATCTATATTTTTAAATTAGCAATCAGCAGTTCAAATGAATTTAGAGAGGAAGAAAAATTCTAATTAAAACATTTTTGGAAAGTAGGTACTGAAATGGGAAGTGGGTAGTCGACCTCTCCTACACTTCTTTGAAATCAGTTTACCATTTTCCTTGAAAAGGATCCAGGTGAGGAAGTAAAACACTCTAGGGAAAAAATGAACACCCATGACATGAAGTGTCGGATTTTCTACAATTCCACCAAAATGTAAACCCTGTTAATACCTTCTGAAATGAGATCTCCTAGTGAGAAACCTGATTCTTTGAACTGTCACACAAGTTGCTAATTTCAGTGCATTTATGCCTCACTAGACTACCTAATAATGTGAGTGACATGCAGCAGTCACTTTTTATTGTAGCATTACCCATATTAAATCATATACATTTCAAACTACCTCAGGATTTACAGTTCTCCCCACTCCTCACAGTATACTTACCAGTAATAGGCACTTTAACCCATTGAAGCAGCAAAAAACAATGAGTGAACAGAACATAAGAAATTTATTTCAGGACTATATTAGAAAATGACTAAAAGAAAATGACATTAAAAGTTGTTAAAGCTTCACAATAGGTAACAATGAGAGCCATTTTAAAAATGTAAGGGCCACATTATTATGCCATCAATGTAATGATAGGGACTTGAGAAAAGCAAAATTGTCATACTAACTTAGTGCTAATGTACACAGAATGGTAAGTAGCATTAATAACCTATACATGAAGAAAAAGAAACCTAGTACAGCTACAAAGTAATAAAAGCTTTATATAAAATAACATGTTCTGTTTTGTGATGCTGGGCCAAGCAAGGGCTACATGGAGATGGAGTACGTCAAATGACTGAGTTCCAAAGGAACAAGCTCCGGGGTACACAATCCCTTCTACATGGTGTGCCTAAAACCTTGTCTACTTCTCTCTGCTATTTAAGTCCATACAGTTAAAAATATTACCTCTTCCAACTATCATTGCTCTGCTTATACCAGGAGACTACCATGCCCAAAACACCATTACCAGTACATGGAAATAGAGACAGGAATTATTAAACTGTTCTTCAATTAATTCCTTGTCCTTGCTGTTCACCACTGCCAGTGTCTGTGTCTGTCACAATGTAGTGGCAACACACTGACCTTTGGAATATGCTTATAGCCTAAATGAGCTATTAGGAATAGCTTGACAAGTATCCCAGATAGTACTTATGTAGCTTGTAAGTGCCTGAAATAAAGCTAGAAGCTACAAGAAGATCTTAGAAGAATTTCAGGAAAATACTAATTTTCTATGACTAGAAGTCCATTTATCTGATTTTGGGAAGTATTCAGAATTACTGAATCTACCCCTTTGCTCTTTCAGGCAACAGTGCTATTTCACCTCTCCTCAAAAACTTCTTAAATCACCTAGTTAGGTTTCCCTGGGCCCAAAGTAGAAGGCTCTAGCATCTAACTGCTCTGCTGGTTATAAACCTTCTAAGATACTGCTGTAGTCAAGAGAATGGCATTTGAAACATTAGCAAAAGGAAATGGTCAGAATATGACTTGATAAATCTCCCACATGGTGAGTATACACCAGCTTGCCAAAGGCTACTTACAAATAGTGATTTGCTGTCACTCTTGGAGGACACTTCACATGAGGATCTGCAAAGGCTCCTCCTGGGTATTTTTTCTATCAACATTTTTTACCCACTACTTGCATAACAAGATAGAAAACATCCTGACAGCATGGGCAGAGGGCACTGAACAGTAAGGCACCACAAGCACTTCTCAAGTACAGGATCAGATTTCGATGTTATCTTCATTATTTGGGTGATGATGCAAAAATCAACAAGATGAATTAAACAGTGAATGCAACATACTGTGCGTAGGAAAGGGAAGTCAAATACATAACTACAAAATGGAGTAATGGACTGGGCAACAATAGCTGGGATTTCAGCAGGTAGCTCAATGCAAGTCAGCAACACGAGTGCAACAAAAAGGACAAAAGGCAGTTCAGATATCAGAAACACTACAGTCAGGGCATGGGGGGTACCTATTACACTCAGCTCAGCATTAAGGCTTCTCTAAGAACTGTATCTGATTTAGAGCACCACAATTAAAAAATTCAACCTATGAGTTGGAAAGTGTTCAGAGGCAAAGAATGATTAAAAGTTTAGAAAACATTATCTACAAGATGATGAGTGGAAGATCTGGGTTTAACTCAATAAGAAGAGAGATAACTGAGGACACATGAGCCATGAGTAAAAGGCTGTTTTGAAAGGACAGGAGTGTATCAGGTCTCCATATTTTCTATGAGTCTCTCAAAAGGAAATGGTTCAATTCACAGTAATGAGGTTATAGTCTAGATTAGTCTAGTTAGGAAAAACTAGGAGTGAGTCGTAATAATACTCAGTAGTAACACTCAGTTAGTAACAATTAATAGTTAGAAAATTAAGCTTTGGGTCCCAAATAATGCTAATATGGATTTGAATTTTATTTCTTTTTAGGAGAATCGAGGCACTGGAACATGCCATTGCAAAAGCAGAATTCTCTTCACTACAAATTTTAGGAACACAATGGACTGACAGAAGGGTCTAAATTATACACATAACATCCCATCTCAAAACAGAGGAGGGATTAAATTGCCTCCAGGTCCCTTTAAGATTTACTTCCAGGAACCCAATTTTCAATCTAAGTTTATATTCGTGTCCACTTCCTGATATTTGGTTTTTATCCTAAAAGAACCTCAGCAATTGACTGAAACTCAATACTACACATTGTATTTATCAAACTCAGAACTCGGATAAAAATTATGCTTTTAGCTTTGTGTTTTAAAAAAAACCTCTAAAACATGCATTCAGTGTTAGATGTGACACAGAAGTAAGCAGCCTGGCCACTCCCAACATCTCCTCTTCTTTTTAAAGTAAGTCCAAAGTTGAAAAACTTACTAGTTAAGGTCAATTGAAATATTTAATTAACATAAGCATACAGGAATATCTGTACTGAACCTACAAAGTTGTGGTTTGTTCTTGGATATTTCAGAAGTTTTTCCCTTTACTATTTTTCTTTTTATTAATGTTATTTACTTAGGAAATTGAGCTTGGGATGTGAAACAATGCTAATATGGATATGAATTTTATTTTTACTTATCTCTTAAGAGAGTTCCAGTTTGACATGTCATTTCATTGGAAATCAGTTTGAATGCTCTGGGGAGAAAAGTTTTAGTATTTTCCATTTACCTATTTCCTCATTCACTCTTCAGTTCGTACTGACTAGGAATAACTTCTTAATGAGAACATAAAATAATTTTTTATTCTAAAAGCAGTGTCAGTTTAATTCTGAATTGATAAACTGAGTGTAGCGTTATTTTCAGATAACAGCATAACTTTCTTTTACATAAAATAAGCTGCTTCAATGTTCAACCATGCAAGGAGACGAAATTCATGCAGGAATGGATAATGAAGGACTAGGGTCCTCACCTAACACAGCTGTCGGCACAAGTGGATCATTGGGCACTGTAGGAAAACAAAGCTCATGAAGAAATACATTACCTTCAATTTGTGTATTTTTAAGAACAAAAACAATATACTTCAGAGTATAACCAAGTGATAACTAAACCCCATTAATTTTGTTACAATAGAAAAACAGAATGAATACACAGATCCAGAAAGCATTCTGAATAAAAGAGGAATGAAAGGCAGTGATTTTGGACTTCAGAAATGTAATGATAAAGGCAAAGAGATTCTTACTGAAACGAAGAAGACATTACATGCAATTTAGTTTTTGAAAGGGCTCCTCCTTCACTATTGTTCTTCTGCTTCACAATAAAGGTTCACTTTCACAGAATCAACTCTTTTCCTTTTAAATTCATCCTCTCATATAATACTTGAGTAGTTTCTCTCAAAATCAAATGGCATTTCTTTAAAGTCTTCCAAGTAATTTTAAAAAATTATATACATATTACAGTTAATAGCTTTTTTATGTGCAATGCCAAAGACATTGCTCTTAATGAGTATAGGAAAATCACAGATACACAGATGCAGATGTCTGAATAAAATACATAGGATTTTATAATTTGTTACCACATCTAGAACTGTGCAGAGACAAATGCACTGTTTTGGACAGAAATGGTGGAATCCATAATTTGGTTTTGTTCCAGTCTAGAACAAAAATTTAAAATATCGACAGCTCTGTGACAGAACTGAGCTCCAGTTCTCAAGCAATCTGCCTAACAATTTCTCACATAACAGGAAACCCCAGAAGTTTGGAAGGTCTTTTGCCCCAGCACAGAAAACGGCCAGGAGAATTTAATCCTCCAACACCCAAAAACCCACATACCTAGGAAGGTGGAAAACAGTTATGTCAAAGTTTGCCAACCAACCAGGACAGCTGTGGTGGCTGGTGCTTGTGGGATCCTGGCATTATGCCGGTCCATCTGGAAGGCTGCTCAAGTGCCTGGCAGCCCCAGCTCACTAATAGCCATTAGGCTCCTGATGGATACTTTGCCTGGGATCCACCATAAACTTAGTTCAAATTGAACTGTCTTTGCAAACCTGCCTCCACAAATTTCAATGCCAATAAGACATCAAACTTTGGAGAGTTTTCAAACAGTTCCAGCCAAAACTGTGTAGAAAAACCTCATAGGCTGATACTAAACTCCCATTTATAGTTGGTTATGAGACACGTAAAATGTTAGCAATCTGCAGTTTGGTAAGCTTCAATAAACTGAGCAATAAACCCGCCTCCAAAATCCATTTCCCTTACAACAATCAGGAAAGAACTTAAAAGCCTTAAGGGATGTATTTTGCTCAAGCATGGTAAGCGGTATGGGAGGCAGGAGAAGGGAGATGGAGTGCCATTTCCAAAAGATGGCAATTCAGAAGCAGCTCTGGCTGCTCAGATCTGTTTAAAACCAGGCCACAAGTCCATGCAGCCATGAGAAAGCCAGGTTCCTGCCAGCTCTGTGGCAGAATTGTATCCCTTCAGTAACTTACACACTAATTTTGAGGTTTTCAGAGTCTACCAGTGGAATATCTTGCTTTTGTACAAGGCATAGTGCAGATGCCAGGAGGCAGGCATGCTGGATAGTGGTAGCTATAACCCAGGCACTGAACAGTCAGAAACCCAAACTGCCAAACTCTGTCAAAACCAGACAGTTGTCAAGTTTACAAAAAGGGAATACAAATATAGAGCAAATTTGCAGATATATTAACAAGCTTGTTCCTAAACTTCACAAACAGCAGTGAGTCAATTTCCTTCTGTTATAACATCCTCACTGCCAAAAGAAATAAATTAATTTGGACCTCATATTATTATTCATTACAGACATGGTGTTACACAGTAATATTTAACATGTTGGTATTAAATATCCTCATGAGGGAAAACTCAATTTCAGATTTTAATTGAGATATTCTAGAATTGTAATATTTTCCCTATAACAAGTATCAACGCATACTGAAAGTACATGTAAATGTTTAAGTAATTTGCCACATACCAGTAAGTATAACATACAAACACCCCTACTCAACCTTCGGATCTATCAGTGTTCCTAGAAAACCTGGAGCTTACAATTTTTCCTCAAAAACTGGAACTGTTTTCCATGTTTCTATGTTCATCTACATTCCAGAGTATCTATCACTGTCATACTTACATCTGGGACTGAAGTTGTGAGAGTCCATAAATGTGATTGAAAGGGGATCCTCTGCATGCAGGGTGCTCTGGTCAGCATAACTCCTATCCATCGCATTCACCATGTGTGTCATCTCCTGGCGGGTGGTTCCCATGGCATCCTTGCGCTTCTTTGCAAGTTTGCTGCCCAGCCAAAAAAAAAAAACCCAAACCACCTTAATACTTGATGAACATTGATGTCTACAGTAATCATTATCTATAGTCCTGAGTGACTGAAAAGTTTGGCTGATTTTCCTGTGCACAACTTTCCCAGCGTGAAATTGATAAAATTATGCACCCTGCTATGAAAGAGTCATGAGTAGTGTGTTTTCTGTACACACACAAATGCTGTAATGGAAGTGCTAACTTCTGTAACCTGGTAATATATATATATATATATTTTTTTTTTTTTTCCCCCCTGTGGAGTAATTACACTAATATAAACAAATTAGAGAATATAATTACATTTTAACTGAAATGATAAATAAGAAGCATCTGTGCATGCAGTTTTATCAACCACCTCCATTTAAATCTGTGTTTTGATTTTATAAATGGATAATTCATTCCCCTTGCTTGCCTTGTTAGGAAGAAATCATTTAACCTTCTAAATTATTTTGTTAGCCAAAAAACCTATGAAATAACAAAAGAAACATAACTATTCGATATAGATTCATATTACCTTTTATGTTTAAAGTTGTTCTTCCCATTCAGTATACAAGATACAACATGATATCACACTTTGTTTGGGATCATCTTAAATTTTGACATTAGCAGTCTTACACTCTGAATGTATCACAGTTAAACATCGACCTAACCCATACAACTAACCCCCTCAACAGACAATGCCCTTAAAGTGCACACTTCAGAAATAATTCTTAATTCCTTCCTTTTGATGAAGACCTGGAAGTGATTTTCACTGTCTCCAGAAGTCAGATGGAAGCAGATAATATATTTTAACTACCTCTTAAAGACTACTACTCTTAAAACATATAATTCAAGTAGTAGGAAGTATGGGAAGCAGCATCAAGTGCACCTTATTTCTGCACGAACCTGTGACATACGTTAGACTGTTCTGAAATCTCCCTATTCTCATCTGACGTTGTGACTGTAATATACTAGACAGCCAAATTGCTTATTTGGCTACGTGGGAGAGACACAATCCTCACTGAAAAGACTGGGTTCTTGAAAATATATGTTTAGAACACAGCTTAGCTTCACAAGCTTTCTCTGCATAAAATATCATCAAATATCCTGTTAACTGTTTAGACAGTGTTTATCTTACATTTCTTCAACTAAAAGGACTGCTTGCTCTTCCTCTGTTCTCCGATAACTTTAAATATTCTGTGCCATACTCTAACAGTAGACTAAAAGAATATTAGTGTAAATTATCCATCCATTTACTTGTTAAGTCCTGGGAATATCCACTGGAAAGGACCCACAGCACTCTCCAGGGCAGGAAGCACTTTTTGTTTTTGCATATTTAAGAAAATGTTAGAGGATTGTTTCTTAAGTTAACAGGCTTGGTTCACATAAGGGGTCACAAAGTAGGATACAGATGGACAAAGCATTCCTGAGAACAACACAGTTTCTTTCACCACTAGACTCATCTCCTTATTTTGCTGTATGCCTCCCAGCTTTTTTTCCCCATTCAAGATAGACTAGTTGGAAAATCACTACTCAGTAATCCCCTCACTAAAAAAGTCCCAAAGATGGTCTCTAAACCTACAATTTTTCATCTAACCTTTGCGGTGTACTTGAGGTCCCTGTGTTTATTAGTGAAAACCAGAAAATCAATGACAGTTGGATGTCCCCTCTAAAATGCTTTATTTTATACATTTACTCCACCCATTCCTATTTACTTAAGAAAAACTGGTTTAAATGATACTCTGGTCCAACAAATGAGGACCATGAGAACTTCCAGAAGTGAACCAGTTTGAGCTTTATAACTGGTTCCCAATACTAGCAAAGCTTTCACAAAACTGGCATTTCTAGTTCAAGACTGTTTTTTTTAAATTTCAAAGCCTTTCAGATAGTCTCTATACACTGAAGATAGTCTTTTTCTAACGCCACCACAGAAATGGAACAAAAAGACTATTACATCTCATCTCTTGGCTATATTAAGCTCTCCTTTGAAGCATCATTTTGTAACAAAACTTGCTAGCTACGCTAAATAAATCAGCAGCTATTACAGCTTTCAAGTTATTAGCTTATTACAGCACCTACTTTCTAATTCTTCTGTCTGCTTCAACTCAAAGCTGCTGGGAAACGGGAGGACAGCTTTATTGTTCACCAGTTCCTGACTCCCCCGGGGTTTGACTTCTTTTTCCTTTCCTTTTTTTCCTTCCCTCACTCAGTTAAAGGCGCATGCAATCTATGCTTCATGATAGTTAAGAAAATCGTTAGGTTAAAGTACTCGAGGCTGACAGAAAGTGTAAATGATTCTCATTATCTGCTAAAGGATCCAGTTGGGTGAACCTGGGCAGGTGGGTGTTTCAGTGGGAGCTGGAAGGGAAAAGTGCTCCATCATAGGATGAAATTGTGTGGTTAATTATCTTGAGCTGAAGCAATTGTTATTTAACAAGGAAATTATAATTTGTCACAATAAACCGCAGAATGGCAGTTAGCTAAGCCAGCTTAGTGATTTTTTTTTATTTTTAAGTTTGTTTAAAGAAGTCAACTAATCTGCTTAAAAACGTGGAAGAGCATCATTATTGGACACTGCTGGTTCATCAAAGCACTTGAGTGCCTTCTTAGGTCCCCTCTGAAGTCAAGGGCATTATGCATTTATTTAAAGTTAAGAATGTGTGTAACTACTTTGCTCAATCACAGCAAAAAGTGCCGCAGCCTTCAAAAAACTAATTTGGTCAACACGTATTAAAGAAGTCATTTTTGCTCCAATGAAGCAAAACTTTGTGCAAACCAATGTCATAAAGTAAGATCCACACTTTAAAATGTGTATACAAATCACCTCACAAGCAACAGATGTGAGGTGATTTGTACACACAAAAAACACTTCACAAAAAACATTTCTGTAAAAAAAAAAAAAAAAAAGGTTGGTACCACAGAGGCAGATGGGTTGCTCTGCCATTGCTGGGGCAGAGATCTATTTATAAAGGTCTGGCATCTGTCTATGACCTGTGTAGGAAAACTGGTGCACAGGATCACTCCTGGTAACTGGTACGCTACCAAAGAACAATTTGTGATTTACACGCACAGTTCTCTAGCTAGGAAATGGGAAAAGAGGTTTTTTCCTTAGTGTGATGTGTCACTGTGAATCATAATGCAAATTAAATTATGATTAGAAAAAACTAAAATGATAGTTATGGGAAAAACTGTAGCAAAAAGCAAAAGTCTCAATATACAGTTAGAAATACAATATCCCTTTAAAAAAAAACAAAAAACACAGGGTAAGAGTAACAGAAACAACAATACAAGCAATTTTTCAAGCCTGAGAATAAAAAGGTAACTATCAACAAAACTTTAGGAAAATTATAGAGACTGTTTTTCTTTTTTAAAAAGGGATACTGCATCTTTAAAACATGTAAAATAGTAAGTCACCCGTATTTTACTTACAGATAGTAGGAGTAAGAATAGTAGCTCCTCCTGGCAAGCAAATCACAGACAGTGGAGAAAGAGAAGCAATGGTGAATGAAAAGCATGACTCTGTCACATTCAATAAAGCAGAGAAATGTGCGTTTAAAAAAAAAAAAATTGAAAAATTCATGTTTCTTTGGTTAGCATTTCAACTTGCTCATGCACAAACTAGCTTGATTTTGCCATGCAATTAAAAAAAAAACCCACTAGCATATAAAAATGATTTGTTTTTTAGAGAGATCACTTGAGAAAATTACATGCTGAGATTTCATTTATTGCCAAAAATTTTGAAAATTAAATGGATTGTGTATTTTCAACATGCAGTTCAGCATAATATAATGATTACCACCTAGATGTTATGACAAATGAACAGCTGTGTACAAATCTTGTGCAGTAAATATGCTTTTTACTTTTCAGTTACAAAAGCTAAAAAATGCATTAATAAATACATTTAATCTGAAAACAAATTGCAAGTCATTCATTTTAACATCTTTATCAGTACACAGGTGTATACATATATGTTTGTATGCGTACTGTATGTAGCTATATGAGTACACACATTTTAAAGAATGCACCTTTACAACAGAGACGTGTGTACTGACATATATACCACATATTTCCTGAATGCAAACATATGTTTTCTATTTTAAAATCTTACAATTGGAAATGCTGATGTAGTCATGCCAAGCATTAAAAATATGGAAGGTAAACAAATGGAAGGAAATGAAGGACGTGTGGAAAGAGTCCAACAATGACTTAGAAAATAAAAATGGCATTGCTTGTTAAAGATGCAGTATCCCTTTTCATAGTTGGTTTGATTACTCCAGTAAAACTCTGTAAGAGCTGTTAAGAGCTTCATTTGGGAAAACGTCAAACCAATTTGTACAAAATGATCAGGCAAAGCCTAAAACATCTCAAGCTCGTGAACAAAACTGCTTAGTACTCTATTTTTCAATAAAATGTAATGCTGCATTTAATCAGATTGAGATAGCAGTGGCTGTGCAGACGACTTTATAGACCAAGGAAAATGCAGAAACCATTGTTTCATCAACTTTTCCATGTAGTAAGCTGTGGTCAGTTCAAGTACCAAAAGGGATACTACATAATGGATCACTGAATATGTACACTACAGAGGATGACTCAAACGGATCGGTTTTCAGTCCCACCACAACTAAGGGAAGTGTGTTTATGTAGGTGTGAACGTGTCAGGGCTTTTACAGCTGTTCCTGGCTTCATGATGTGGATTTCCCTGATTCGCCAGAGGGACTGAATTAACTCAGGTATACAAAGATTTTCTATACTTTTTGTAAGAGACTGAAGCTGATATTAAAAAACCCTGCCTGCTTTCTCTAAATGGGGAGGGGAGGGAATGGCACACCTATAACACATGATAGACAACCAATTAAACTATCATGATGAAAAATTGCCAAACATTAAAGATTCATTAAAGAGGTTAATTTCTCACCTATTTTAATACAAAATAGTACATGAGTTTAGAAATGTTAATGTGCTTTAGAATGATGATTAAGTATCATTCCTAAGAGGGTACTGACTTCACAGGTTCAGAAAAAGGAAGGGGGAAAATGGGGAAATTTTAAAATACCATTTCACAGACATGAATAACTTACATTTATCAAACAATTCAGCAGGGAAAGTATGAGTCTAAAAGGACTCTGAATGCAAGAGGTAAAAGGGATAGGAAAAACGAACACATTGAATTTCAAGCTTTATTTTTTTTTTTTAACCTGCAAAACTAGTCAATCCCATCTGGAAGTGACTGACAATATATAGTGGTGGACAGTCTCTCTCTCTTTCACACACACACACGCATGCACACACACAGAGTCTTCTATTATACATAAGGGAACCACTACAACATGTGCTGAGAAGATGATACTCCCCAGTACATACCTTGTAATAAAGCTATAAAATAGAGATTTCTTCCTGAAAACTGAAAAACAACTTTTCTTTTGTTTTTAAAAAGTTGTGTAAATAAAGAAAATTGGCTGACTGTATGCTTTTTTTTTTTTTTTTTTGCATATGATGAGTTGGACCTTTTGCATATGTGTTAATTCTCAACCACAGAGGGAAACAACAGAGAAAAGTAAAAGCACTTTTGGGAAAAATCACATATGTAGCTAACTAACACAGAACACTACAAGCATACCTAATGTTTCTAATGCAGACGTTTCTTCTCCAAGTTATATATCTCCAGGGATAATTGTAAAGAGGCAATAAATTAAAAAAATCTAATGCAAACCAGAAATTATAACATATAGAAAGAACTTAGGTACAATTTAATTTTTTTTCTGAATTTTAAAAAATAATAGCAAAGTGTATTTCAGATGAACATCGGCAACATTTACAAATATGCTTTTCATTAAGACTTCTGTAAAAGGCGAGGGAACGCAATGCACGCACCACTGGAAGACAAACATCTCGTTCTACCCAAGAGAAATCAGCTTGTGCCCTGTGAAGGGGACTCACTGGGGAGGGGGTGCACAGAAAGAGAGGAATTGGTTTCAATACTATAACTACGGATTTATAGAGTCACGTTATCAACTTTTACACCAGGCTAAAAGAGTTGCAACTATTGGGAAGTCGAGACTTAAAAACTGACCGAGCAATAGGGTAGCACAATTTACTACGCGGAGTTACAATGCCAGAAGATGGCGATATTGCTCACTAAGAAAGCACTAAAAAAATAAATATTAAAATTCATTCAAATTAATACACTTTAAACAATTTCATGCACTAAGAACTCGCTAGATAATTTTACAGTGATATGGTATGACTTTTAAGAAAAAAACTTCAGGTTTACAAGAGCATAAATAGAGGTATAAAATTACATTATTTTGCAAGTTGGATAACACACAGATACAAATACCTCATTAGAGCTGCATATAGAAAATCAAATTCATTAGGTGATTACAACATGAAAAGTGCAGTAATTTATTATTTTATTTTTTGCTTAAAAAAAAAAGGCTCCATTAATTTCAATTCTACCCATTTTTATATTCTATACTTTCCTCCAACTGTAACTTAAAACTACTTGTAAATAAATAAATATGAGAAAATCTACAGCTATTGGGTCCCAAATATAAAGAAATCTTCTCTTTATAGCCATCATAAGAATCACAGCAAAAACAACAGGAAATACAAAGACCTCATTCAAAGACTGATGCGAGCTACTGGTCCTGAAACTTTTTTTTATTTTTTTTAAAGACTTGTAAATAATATCCATTTAGGATAGAGAAAAAAAAAAAAGGATCAGTATAGATCATTTCTTACCTTTTTTTGACGATCAATACGACAACAAGGAGAAGTAGGATGAATACCAGAATTCCAGCACTTATTCCTGCTATTTTCACCACTCGATCTGTTTGTTTAGCTGGATCCGGAATCACCTCAGGTTCTTCTGTTGCTGCTGCTAAATGAATCAAAAAAGAAGTTGCTTAAATGTGTAAACACTAGAGACATGAAAATCATCACTGGTTATATAATTTCCAAATATGTGTGTGTTTTAAAACAGTAGCCAGAATATAGATATATGTATCATATGGTTTTACATCTACACATATGTATACAGAGACACTGTAAATTTCAATCTATATGTCATACATTTGCAACACCAAGTATATGACTATATATGCGTGTACACAGGTGCATATACAAATACATCTAAAACTTCATGTACACAGCAGTGTATATGCATCTGGATTTCCTAAAAAGTTACTGTATTACGAAGCAGAAGACAAAGCAGAGACTATCTATTCACTAAATCACCATTACTTCCTTTAATGTTATTTTTTTCAGATATCTAGTAATCTAGTGAGATTACGTTAATTCACACACAGTACATTAAACTCTTTACACGCTGCCGCCAGCACCATAAACTCTAGTCCTTCTCTCCTTCACGCAATTTGAGTCCACCTTTTTATATTAATTCACCTTACAGCATCTGGCCTGAGATCTGCATTTTACTGGGAATTTTGATTCTCCAAATAAGGCCATCCACAAAGCCAAACCTAAAGTCAGCAGTAGTTTTACTTCTGTTAATAGGCCCTCAAAAAAAAAAAAAAAAAAAGAATCACTGTTCTACGCAGAGATGAAACCACTCTGAAACACAGCTGAGTGGGCTGAGGCCACAGGTTATAGCAGAGAGGAAACCAGAATGTATATGAAAGAGCGCAGTCATTCAGTCTGCACCTCTCTGCATCACAGCCTGGCATACAAAGGATCAGGAACATAGGGTTTTTCAGCCTGGCAAAAATATCAAAAAATATAAATAGGTTTCAGTCAGGGGTAAAATCCCATGAGGTGTTTACTTGTAAAATGGGAAACGGCTCTTCAGTTCATAGTTTCTAAGGCTGTGGCTTAGCACTTTGCCTTTCCCCTGCTCGCAGGCATGGATGGGTATGTGTGCTTGCTTTCTCTCTGACCTTTCTTCTCTCACTCTCCACCCGGCATGCAGCAGATGCCACTTAACCTCCTCCCCCTCACAGTAGCTGCACGTGGAGTTACAAGCTGTTGGGATCATCATGCCTATGTCATTACACAGAAAATGTCCTTTACTCTGAAACTAAAAGGCTCCTCAACAGACCTCCAAACAAGCAGCACAAAAAATGAGGTGAAGCCACGCCAGAGAAAGACTATCACTCTCCCAGAAAGCCGCTCCATCGGCCTTTCAGAAAGCCAGGGTAGTTAGCACCAGGGGTAACTGATACCTAATACTTTCTGGTTTTAACCACATTACTCAGACCATTTCTGAGTGCAGGAACCCATACTATCTTTGGAGAAAATGATCATGCTGATGTTTAAAATCACTCTTTATTACTTGTTTCTGTAACCGCTGTCTCAGCAGTATCTGAACTACTTACTAACAACTTATCCTCAGAGCAACCTACTGACTTGGGAATGTGCTCTCTTTCAGACACCCATGTGAGAGCTAGGCACACAGTAAGAGATCTGGTAGTGCTTTAATCATAAAACCTAATCATCATCATAAGACCTCATCATCATAATAATCTCCCTCCCCTACAGCTTGAATTCTATCTGCTGAGAAATACTAAATGCTTCCTCCTTTGTGCAAACACATGCCTACATGCCCACTTGTATACATAACCTGCGTGGACTCAATACTATGTATCTTGTTTGTATTATGTGTGGTATTGATGCGTCTAGACTAAGAGTCAGGATCAGGTAAGTGATGTGTGTATGTTGCTGCGTACACACAACACATACTCACACATAAACTAGAATTAATGCCAGATACACATATGATGCTGTCTAACAGAGGAAATGAGGGAGATGACTTTTGAGGTGGAATTGGAAGAAGGTGTCAAGATTCTCAGTGCTTAAAATGAATCAACTCCCACTCCACCATTAGCTGGGCTGGATGTGACAAACACAAATGAACACCTGATAAGCAGTAGAGTCAAAAGGCCCATCATTAGAGTCAAAAAAACATTAAAGCCAAAATATAAGTGGCTTTATATGCTAACGGGAAAAAAAACTTCATGTTTGCTGTATGGGGTACAGCAAGGACATGGGAAGTGTAGAGGAGAGCACGCAGGAGCGGGATAGTCGCTGTGTCTGGAATTGCCATGAGTACAATGTGACCTAGCAAAGATAAGAACTACTCAAGCTGCAAAATAGCTAAGACTTGAGCAAGAGATTTAGCTGTGTGGATGGAGATTTAAGGCCAGGTCTTTGAGAGATTTCAAAATAAGAATCACAAGGATTGGATGTGACCCGAAGATGCACTTCAAAAGTTGACGGCTCAAAAATACATTCAACAGTACAGGCTTTGAGCCTTGATCAGGACGATGGTATTTTCACAGGAGTACTACTGAGAGTAGAGGGGAAGGAATGATAGACGAGTCTCTACTTCCCTGGAGAAAGATATGACCCTTATTGCTTGAGAGAGCAATCTGCAATATAGGTGCTTCTCAGTCATGTTTAAAATTATTGCTTGGCCACTCACAATGTTATGTCATTCAGAAAAGTTACTTTAGACAAACAACCATACGCTTTTCAGAAAATCTGAAGGAAAGGCTACTGAAAGAGTTTAGTTATTTGCCCGACTTAGGACTGGTGGTTTATTATATATTCTGTAAGAAATGATTGAGTTTGGATTATCAGTATCTGTTCAAAATGCAGCTCTCTGTCCAAGTTTATAGAACAACAGTGAAAAGTCAGGAGGATATCAACTGCTTGTCCATTTATTCTGGTTTCCTTACACTAAGGAGTAAGTTTGAAGTAGGGACAGTAACTCATTCTGTGAGTTTTTATGCTGCTTATGAGATAAAGCTGATGCCCACTGGAAATGTACCACAGAGTCCTATATTAGTGGAGAAATATTATATTGAATAATCATAGGCTTAAGCAAGCATATAAGCAGTGGTTGAGACTCCTATACCTAAAATGCTGAAATCTATGGGCAAATGCTACTCCTTTCCCCAGTATCAACAGAAAAATTGCTTCTGACTTAAATGAAGACAGGATTATTATATGTCTGTTTCCAGCAACAGATAATATATGCATTCTCTAGACTAAATATTACATTTGGGGACTATATGAAAGCAATTATAGATATAAATCACACTGTAATCTATTATTTATGTGTATGTGCATTGTATGCAATAAAGTATATCATTTTGAGGAAGCCATTGAATGTAGCATAGAATCATTTAATGAAACTTATGAATTTTAAAGAATTTCACATCACTTGTGTTTTAATTTTGATAGTTCAAAGTGTATCGTAATAAGCTGGTGTGAGCTTACACATACACAACCAAAGGAAAAAAAACAACATAGAAACCTTGTGCCTATGTGTTAAACTTATGTATATAAATCAGTGTCTCCTAGTTGCTCATTGCACAAGGACTACAGCAGCAAGAAAAATTGTGCTTACTCTGAATATTTGCTCTCTCTGTCCTCTAGACTACAAGACTGTCAGGATTTTTCTTTCTCTGAAGTGGCCCTCCTATAGGGTGAACTGCTCCTTTTGCCAAACAAAGCAACTCAACTAAGCAAGGCTTCACCAAGGGCAAATCTTGCCTAACCAACCTAGTGGCCTTCTGTGATGGAGTGACTACAACAGTGGACTAGTGAAGAGCTACTGATGTCACCCATCTCAACTTTGTTAAGCCTTTAACAGGGTCCCCCACAATGTCCTTCATTCTAAATACAAGAGATACAGTAGTTAAAAGTTGAATTATTTTGATAATTGGAGTTAACTACTGCATATTTCTAAACAAGGTAAAAATGGTCTAAAATTATTTCAGTTACAAAAACACCTGCTTCACTAATTCCTGCTATTCCTTTTTAGTAATCTAGTCCTGCAATCTTTTCATATATCTCAAATGGCAGACTGTATTAAAATGTAATTTATCAGTTTGAAAAAGAACCTTGTGTTGTAACAGAATGATGATCATATGGAAATGGACTTTCTATTGGCTATTAATTCCTTTGGCCAGCCTTAAACTAATAGACCTCCAATTAAAGTGCTAATTTTTGCAATATCCTTGCATATTACAATATTTTTCACAATTTGACCCTGCAAGTCTATGAGATAATCTTACAGTTTTCAACCAGTGCAAAGTCATCTTGCATAAAATTTGCAAGACACGTTTCTGATCTGAAACAGGGAGTTAACTACATCTTTTTCCCACTATGAGAACAGCTGCCTAGACAGAAGATTTATGAGCTAGATTGGGAGGAGAACACTGGATTTAGCAATTTATCTACTCGCCTTTCTCCTGAACTACCAAACAGTAACAGCAAACATATTCCACAGTCTCATTCACAAAGCTTATAAAACAACTTGATCCAGTGATTCTGGCTCTGCATGTTGCCAGCAACAGTCACAACATAAGTAGTTTTTCTTGTTTTCATAGATACCTAAGGACAATATTCAAACAGTTTACTTCCATGATCAATAGCATGAAGTTCAACTGCGAACAGCACTAAACTAGACTAGGATTGCTAGCACTCTCAGGTACAGCAAAATTCTAAACAGCTGGTGAGGTACAGTTCATCTTACTCTCATAATTTGCTGATGTACCAATTCCCCTATTTTTTTTTGCAATGTTTTTAATCAAATATACCTAAAATTCCAATACTCACTTCTAAAATTGAGTGTTTGCCTAATATTCATACTTAATTCTGAAAGTATACTGTGGTTTAAGGAATCCAGTCACGACATATATTGCTTTCCTGTCTTCTCTTTCCTTCTGTGTCTCAGAATTTACACACAGCCTTGCAAAATTGTCAGAGAATTTATGAGACTCAGTACAAAATCTATTCACCTATACCTTCCTAAGGAGATGGTGCTGGAATCAAGATAATGATATTCTACTTGCTCATCCAAACAGAATTATTCAAGCAGAAAATTCTGGTAGGATTTCGCAGGGCTGCCTGTATGGTACCACTTAGAGAACAGTCAGCCTTCTAAAAGACAGCTTTTAAATCAGAGGTTTTGAACAAGATTTTATACGTAACCTTCTCACCATACCATTTGACTCGCTTAACATTCACAGCATTTTATGCTGGGTTTCCTTTGTGTGAGAGAGGGAAGAAACTCTGTTTTATGCATGATTAAAGCTGCTATTTTATTACACTGCATTTTCTTTGAATGTTAATTTTTGTTTGTGGCAGATCTTTGAATTCTCACAAACTGGTGTTATTGCTGCATAGCTTGATATACAAAATAGCTGTGCTCAAGATAATCTGTTCTGCACCTTTGTTATGTGGCATTCAAAAACTTTTAATTAAAAACAGGAATGACGTCTGAATGAGTTCAACAAGGTAACATTAGGATAACATCAAATGAAACTGGAGTTCCAGATAGCTCTGCCGATATGTCAGTCTACCACCTGAGAAAAGGGCTCTTTGAGAAACTAAGCGAGAATCTCTGATGAATATTTTCTTTTAGACTGCTCTGCCCTGTGTTTTAATCATCTGCCCAGAAAGACCGTTCCATCTTTATCAGTTTTGTTTTGTTACTACTTTGCTAGAATGATAATCATTGTGCAATTAAGAAAACTTTTAGAAGTCTGAAAGTTAATTAATAAATTCAAGTTCAGAAAGAGAAGACCTGTAACCCTTTTTAGTTTAATCATGTTAAAAAAAAAGTCTCAGCCAATTCTATTTGATGAAAACTCTTGAATGTGCTTTTGAAGGGATGAGGGAGAGGGGATATGCTACTTGTTCCAGCAAACTACACACACAATTAATGAGGTCTTACAGATTTCCTCATATGAGTCAGTTTGGTATATCACTGATCCCTCTTTAAGATTCTTCTTTTTCAGGTTGAAAGCTCGAGATACATTTACTGGGAAAGGAATCCCCACAATACTCCCTTCTCTATGGCTTCCAAAGAGCTTGTCTCTAGGAGTGTAGCTTCTGGGAGATGAAGACATGCCAGAAACTCACTAGGGTTTGGGTACACCTAAGTTGTTGCTTCCAGGACTCTAAATCACAACTTTGTAGGCTAGCATTATTAAAAAGAAAAATTGTATTTGATTATGAACCAAAACCGTGATTGTCTGAGCTGTGCTTTGAAGTGTCAGGTTCATCCCTGTCACCATGGTAACCAGGGTCCCTGGCTGCCCCAGGGAAGAGTTTAACAGGCTCTGCTGGTGAAGAGGGGGATGCCCGGCACCACCAGCCTCTTCTCCCCACCTCTCCTGAAAGAGATATGCTTAGATGAAATCTGCTGCCTCACTTTGTGCTGCAACATACTGTGCCCATCTTTGTCCTCACGTGTGTCCCTTGCTGAGGAAAAGGGGGAGTTATGCTCCCAGCTATGCTTAGCAGAGGGGGTCCTCAAGGCCCCAGAGCTTTGTGACATTATAAGTTAAGCTCTTATGTGAAAAAAATTAGATACTACTGTTCTCTACATAAAAGGTCATTGCTGCAGAAATGGATAGAGATGCTGTTTCACAGGCCCCTACGGCTTCTTCTGAAAGAGCTTTTTGATCCCTCTCAAAGGATGGCTTACGTGCAAAAACGAAATAAACGCAGCTTCAGGCTAACCTCTAGTCAGATTTGGGATGGCATAAGATGCTGTAGAAGTTAAGTAGATAAAGTCCCACAGGTGGCTCTGCACACAAATATGGTACCAGGTAAACAAGTGACTCCTTGCTTACACATCCTTCCAGATAATGCAGAAAAATAGCCTGAGCTTATGCTACTGGATGTTTTTGAAGTGATGAACATGCAGATTATAAATATTTATATGCATTCTTAACTAATTAAGCAAACTTGCACAGCATATCTTGCCATATAATAATGAGACTGCTACCTGGAAACTCCAGTATATTATAGACATATTTATATAGAAAAATGGTTCCTGACCGGTATCGTTAAGCCCTCACAAGTGTAGATGTATATTGTTTTGATAAGTGATACATAATTAAAAAAAAATTAAATCTCATCTTTTCTGCTCTCCAGCACTTTCAGATCAGTCCATTGACTGGTACTACTTTGGAAGAAAACTACAAGGAAAACAGAATCAGGTGAATCAAGTGTCTTCTGCTACCAGAGACTGTAACGAAAATTAATGAGGACTTACTCTTGCAATGTTCCACTGAGAAGCAATTTAAATTCACAATGACTCCTTTGAAAACAGTAATGTCCATGAATTTATAACCAATTATGAAAGAGTTGACCTTAAAAGATTCAGAAGTATCAAGTGAAAAAAGTGCTGAATCCATTTGCCTCACTAACTGTGAAACCTTGGACATGTGCAGATGAACAGAGCCAAAGCAGGAACAATGCTGAGGAGACAATGTTCGAGCAACGCTCTGCCCTGCTGTCCACAGGTCACTTTGAAAGAGCAGATTAGTGCCTTCAATGCATTTCTATTACATCTGCCACTAAGACATACTACTCGCGCGTGTACTTTGTAGACACCTTACTACCTTTTAAAACACTGCAAGGACAGGATTCGGTTATAAGGAATGAAGACGTTCAGTGCATCTTATATTCTACAGGTTGTAAGGCTTTTGCTTTGCAAGTTATTATCCTAACGTAAGAGACAGCTGTTTATGTAGACATAACTAAGCTGGCTTTAAATGAGCAGGCTCAATGACGCAACTGTGTCCTCAGGACACAAAAAGCTCTGGGTGAATGCAAATGGCAACTGTGACAAGGTATTTTACATGGAGGTGTAATTTGAAGTTACACTGTCAGCTTCTAGTTCAGTTGTTTTAACCAGATTAGGATGTAAGATAAAAATCACAGAATGGTAGTGGTTGGAAGGAACCTCTGGAGATCATCTAGTCCAACCCCGCTGCAAAGCAGGTACATCTAGAGAAGATTGCACAGGATCACATCCAGGCAGATTTTGAATATCTCCAGAGAAGGAGACTCCACAACCTCTCTGAGCACCCTGTTCCAGCACTCTGACACCTTCACAGTAAAGAAATTTTTCCTCATAAGTTTAAGTGGAACCTCCTGTGTTCCAGCTTGTGCCCGCTGCCCCTTGTCTTATCGCTGGCCACCACTGAAAAGAGTCTGACCCCATCCTCTTGATACCCACCTTTTAGATATTTATAAACATTAATAAGGCTTCTGAAATGGCATCTCTCAAAGCAAAAAGCAGACTCCAAGGGTGGAGGAACATGGCCTTTCCCTGTCTTGCAGCAGCACCGCCCAAGAGAGAGAAGACTCCTCCTGGCTGCAGCACATCACTAAGTCCAGGCAGAGCTGTGCTTGCCTTTGGAACTGTCAGCTTCAAAATATACTGAACAAATGATGTTGCTGGGTTTACACAGTGGAAATATATCTTGTGGATAAATTAGAGTCTATTCATTAGTCTATTTGACACATGAAAATCCATGAGACCACCTTTCTTCTCCCCTCCCCTTCTCTCCTGCCTTACCTTCAAAACCAACGACAACAAATCTTTAAAAGGAATCAGAATACCATATTTTGGGGTTTTTGTACTGTGTTTTTTCCATCTTTGATGTTCCCTCTCAGGTCATAATTTCAAAATTGTCGCCTATAGTGCAAAGGCTAGAGCCTTACCCTGAAAAAATCCTAATCTATGCCAGAACTCAAGTTTTTTGGAAAGCTACAGGATCTCCTTAAATACAAATCCTGGACAATACTAAGTGGTTGTCTCAAAATAGCAGGTGTCCTCCTGTAACAGTTGCATGTTTGAAATGTTGGAGAAATTAAGATAAAAGCTTAAAGCAATTTTCTTTATTTTGAAATCTGGTTAATTTTCTGTGTGTAGGATAAAATAAGTTTTTAGAATGAGACTTGAGCCACTTGATGCACTTCTTTCAATAGCCAATATGGAAGCAGACATCTAACAACTCAAAGCAATTTTTTTCGTTGCATGAGTACTAATATACTTTGAAAAGGATACGTTAAAAACCAGTTGTATAAATACATATCATGAATGCTGTACAGTGTCAGACTGGCACAATGAAGTCTAAAACACTGTTTCTCCCCGATTTTCTGGAAAGGGGTATTGGTCGAGAATGGTCCCCTACCACTCTGATCCATCTGATTGTAACCACCTGATGACAACTTTCCAGATGGACTCTTACCATTTCTTAAGGTCACTGACATTACTTCTGAAGTATAATGGGTCTGTTGTTAGACCTGTTGTAGCACTTTTTCCTGAGAACATATAAAGACAGCCAGCCTTTTGGTAATGAGAACATTTATGAAGTTGGGGTTTTTTGTTTTGTTTTGGGTTTTTTGGAGTTCTTTTGGGAGGTGTTAGTGTTTGGCCACATTAGAAATTAATCAACTTTCAAGGTTTAGTCTGAAAAAAAAATGTTTTTAATAATAAATTCTCACTTGATATTAGTTATAAAATTTCAACTATGCAAAACACAGCATTAAGAAATTATTTGGTTTTGACAATGACTCCTATACGGCTTGTTAGCTCAGAATTAAACTTGAAAAGAAAACTACTATAAAAGCAATGCTTGTTAACAAATATACAAAATACCTCATCTTTATGTGCCTTTCCACTAGGTAACATTTAAGAAGTTTAGCAGAGAAAGTACATTGTAATGATCGTTATGATCATTATCATTTCTATACACATGCAACGTGGTTTATGGGGAAAAATATTACTCTCAAATGTCTGAAGTTCCATTTTGCTATATTTATTGAAAATAACATTCTGGGAATAAATTCTGCTAATTTAAGCAACTATAAAATTGTAAGTGAGAATTTACTGGTACTGTAAGAGTTGCAGAGTTATTGCAGACCTGTGCAATTACACAGAAGGAAGCAAGGACAGCTTAACTCTCCTCCACCACAAAACTGCAAACTCTCAACCCAAACTATACTCACACTAGCTCAAAATACAGAAATTCCTAAGATTAAAAATTATCTTAGATCAAATGCAGTGTTTATAACATTGAGGATGGAATCAAATAGAAAGGCAATGAGGAGGAACGGAAATAGCGTTCCCTTCATTCTTTCAAAAAAACCAGATCCACACAGATTAAAGTTTATAGTGCTAAAACTAGTCTTTAATAGCACCCATGGGTTACTATTTCCCATTCAGAGCGGCAAAAGGCAAGAAAATACACAGAACCCCCTCCAAGAAAACAAATGGTTAATTCTTCCTTTGGAATTCGGTGCCAGTTTTTCCAAACCCACATAGATTAAAGTTTATATATTGTTAAAACTAGTCTTTAATAGCACCAATGGGTTATTAGTACCCAGATTCTTCCTCTCATGACTGCCAGCCTTCAGTATTTTGTTTCCTGTAAAATTTGATACTTTTTCAGATAAAGTGAAAGAGTAGATATAAGTAACCAGAAAGAATCCAAGATGCTTTCTTTCACATGAATTCTCTTCTTCCATTTAGAGAAATTTTTTGCAACTTCTTCAGCTACACAGTACTTTCCCAACATGATTCAGTGTCTACAGGAGTCCACTGGGATAGCTGAGAAACAACACAGGATGCGCTAGTGTGCAACACCCATGGCAGAAAACTTTCCTTCTCTTTAAAATCTTCCCATCTGAAGAGCTTCCACTCTCAGAAAGTTACGTGGGTCAAAACTTGAGCTTCTCCTGAGCTCCTTAGCATTAATAGGTGTCCAAGCAGCTGGAGGCCTGGGAGTATGAGGGAAAGGCAAATATCCTCTTCCAAATCAACTGGGACCACCCAGCTGCACATCACAGTAGGCTGCAAGTACTGTCTCAGACATTACCCTAATTATGCAGTTGTTCTCAAATCTGCTTACCCAAATATACCTGAAAAGTTTTATGTCAGAACTTTACGCTAGGCCACCTGATTTTTGCACTGAAACATTAAAGCAGCAGTGCTTACCCACGCTAGTCTACCAGCTGCGACATGAGGGCAACAGCCTTTAGCTGACTGAAAGCTTTGACATCTTCTGCTACACCAATGATTCGCAGAACAAACACGTTATCTAAGCCT